CAACAAATAGATTCCTACTTTCATATACATCCATGGCAACTTTGAAACAGCAAATTCTTACTTTCTGATGTTAATTTTAGCCCTTTCATTCATAATGAAACCTGCACTTTCATTTCCTGTCATGTATTCATAAACTTCACAAGATCAGACCCATCTTCATTTACATCAGTTATAATGTTCCCTTTCACTTGGATTCACAGAGAGACACAGAGAGAGAGAGTATATCAGTTTTTCATTCTTTCATTTGTTAATTCATGCAGTTTTCCATTTATTATTCCAAGTCACGGTCTTCTATTTGACATGGACCGCTAGACTTGACAGGGGCCTATTGTGGTTTTGATCACTTGGTGCTTTCACATAATGCTTTTTAGTAACACAAAGAAGGTGTGGGCTAGATTACAAGCCTGAGTTGTATTTGTGTCAGATGGAGCATTCTCTGCTAATGACAGGGACCCTGTGGATCAGGTTCAGTTCATTTTAATCCATATATTTCACAAATGTCACCCAAAGCTGACTTTTACAGCTCATGCGACTCTATGCAAGCTAATGTACCGTTGCTCAGATCACATCAAATTGAAGGTACATGAAGTTTACTGATTCATACAGGTAGCCCTCGACTTGTGACCATAAAAGAGCTTGCCCATTACAATTGTAAGTTGTAACAGTCATAAAGCAGGCCATGACATGATTTAGTTGTTAAGCAAACACATTGTTCGCTATGATGAGTTTTTGCTGAAAGCCAAATGCAATTATCAGTAACAAAGAGTCAAATCTAATAATAGCAGCAAATTCACAGCCTAATTTCCTTCTTGGGGGACCTTGGTAGCAGGGAACTTCCTAAAGACAGAGAGGTAACAGCAATCAGTCAAGGTCCATGTTCCCATGCAGAAGTGAAAATATGTTGTGTATTGTTGCTGATCCCTGCTGGTCTCGCTTCTCCTTGATATAGTTAACTCTTAAGTCCTTTCCAGATGCTCTGGCTATGACATCTGCAAGAAAGTGCATTGCTTCCTGAGTGTACCTTGCCTTTCCCTTAGGATAGTGATGCCCAGTGGGCAAAGAGGGGAATTCTCAACATCCAGCTCGAGAATTCAAATAAAACTCCAGGTTCATTCCATCTCTGAAATCTTACTGTTTATTGAGTACACTGCATGGTAATGTCGATGCAAAACAAACTCTGAGGTTCCAACACCAATTCATAGACTTAAACCAGGGGTAGGCAACCTTGGCTCTTTTATGACTTGTGGACTTCAACTTCTAGAATTCCTGAGCCAGCCATGCTGGCTCAGGAATTCTGGGAGTTGAAGTCCATGAGTCATAAAAGAGCTAAGGTTGCCTACCCCTGACTTAAACAATATGTTTTCTAGCCAAACCTCCAGCGTCTTAACGCAGTCCATATAAACAAGTTCACTTTGTTATGGGAACAGTCTGCTTCAAATCCACACCTGTTATGGTGTCCTTGAAAAGTTTTCAGGCTCTCACAGTCTTCAGTGGAATTGTAGAAGTTTTGTTTCTCTATCTAACCCACTCGAAAATAACACCTCCCCCCTTACTCTAAAAGCAAGTTGAAATGCAGAGGCAGGTGGCTGCCAAAGTTTCATCACTGACAGAAATGTCAAATGTACCACAGGTACTGACTCAGCTGGGCATCTTTGAGAGATTAGTCCGTGGAGTTTTTCACCCAACTCTTCCAAATCTGAAGCCAGCAGTGTACAAAATTGTGTCTCTCCAGCTGGTGCCCACCTATGTAAAGTCCCCAATCCCCAGGAGAATCGTCTTGGAGTTGCAAACTACTGGGCACGGCTGAACAGAATCTTTGCAGGCAGCTCAGCTTCACAGTTTGGGGGCCACCACAGAAAAGGGGTGAACCTGCCTCTTCAAAAGAGAGAACCTGGAACAGACTTTCCGGTTCATCTGGATTTCCAAGCCACACTGACAACTTAATATGTGACCAATCTTTTCTTTCTCGGATTCCAGAAAAACTGGTTGTAGAGCAGAGAGCATTTTTTTTTCCTCTTTCAAGCAAGGATGGCCTTTTCTTCTTCCTTCCATACAGTGGAAAACCCCAGCCATGTAAAACCCCAGTTCCTAAGAAAAGGCATTGCTTTGCCCATGAATCTCCCCCCAGGCAAAAATGGAAGGAATGTGAAGACTCTGGGTGCTATCTCCAAAAGGCAGCATGGCCTTGCAGCTGCATGCTGCACATTCTTCCTTTGAAACCATGCCCGCCCACCGGTTTTCCAAGCAACGTTAGTATAGAGGCCCACTCAAAGGAAATGATGGTCCAACAGACAATCTTGACTGCAAATGAGTGAACGAGTTGCAGTCTCCTGTTTGGCAGATGGTCACATCCATTGCACTCCTCTTGTTTATCTTAGAGATCTTTGAATTGAGGACTTCTGTCACTTCAACCTGTTCAGAAGAACCGCAAATCTCTGTACAGTTCCATTCCATTCCAGTCTTAGTGTTAATTGGCAGCTTTGTGTAAACATAAAGGTTTGCAAGCAAGTGACCATTACTCCATTCTCCCTGAAGAAAATAAATATAAATGCATTTTTATAACTACAAATAAAAGGTATGCTAATTGGCAAGTTATCCGGAAGACACGTTTTCCACACAAGACCTGAGCATCTATAAACATCAGCTTTGGCCCACAAAAAAACAGACAATAGACTGGGAACCGGTCCTAGACACACACCCTGCATAGTCTACCTTTGTGCTGTGAATACGAACTTCTAAGAAAATGTATGAATGAGCAGCTAAAGAAAATGTTGACAGAATGGACCTCAGGAATAAGAGGAACATCTTTCTGCAATTTATAGAACTTAGCAAAAAATTTCCAACTCCCAATAGTTTCATAGAGAATTAAGAAAAGTCCTTCTTTCTGCTCCTTAAATAAAAACACAGATGTGTTTGTCTGTGTGAAGAGATTTGTGCACAACTGTAGCTCTTTTTCCTGAAAGCAATTTCTGAGCTGAGCATGCACTTAGATATTTCTGTTTCACAATGATTTGTTCGCCTTCTCAAGTTTGCACTTCTTATTCTTTTTAACAAAACCAGTCCTGCGAATGCCTAAATTCTGTGCTGCATATGCTCTCATGTTCATATAATGCGCTACAACTCTGCTGGAAAAAAAAAACCCTGAATCTTGGCTATGTTCATGGAACATATTTAGATGTCACAGTGACTGGCTTCATCCTAACTCACTCAATCTAACTCAAACAAACCACAACAGGGTTTTGAGTAGTGTGTGAGTACTCCCCATGTCAGGGATTCTGTGGCATGGGAGGAATTTATTACTCTCCGGGTGATATTATTTTCTAACTTCTGGTTGAACAGTTGTGATTCCCAATGTTTTTCTAAGGCAGTCCACCTTGTCTGGGTGCTAGGATCTCTTGGTCCATGTTCCTTAGTCCTTTTAGGTTTAAGGAGCAGCAAATGTTTGTTTCTGCCAAGAAGCCACACCTTGTTCAAATCTGAGACACCTTGTAGCTCATGAAATGAGTGGCATAGAATATGTGTTGCAAAAATTAACCACTCGTAAGACACAGAACAAAACACTGACCTAGTTTACATATTGCGTGGAGCTAAGGATCAGATGCAGTGAGTTTAATTCAAATGTGCAAAACAATGAATCATGTCAACCCTCATTGGTAGGACCAACGATAGAAGAATGTGGGAGTCATAGTCACTTCTTGAAGACTTTAGATTATCTATCTCAGGGGTAGTCAACCTTGGCTCTTTTATGACTTGTGGACTTCAACTCCCAGAATTCCTGAGCCAGCTGTGACTACTCCTGGTCTATCTCTTCTAAGTGGTAAGTCTTCCCATCATAAGTGAGGAAACGTAGAGAGATCTGTATGGTAGAAACACCTCCTGGCCCTTCCATGATTTCCATCACCTCTTTCCTACTAGATCAGATTATAGCCTGGCATTCCAAATTCACACTGGCAGTAGATTTCAGCCGTAGAAAGAACTGAAGTATTAGGTCCCCATGGATTCAACCTCTCTGCAAATGACAATGTTCTGCCATGGACTTTTCCTTGCTTCTTTGGTGTCATTGGGCCCCTCTGCCAGTCTGACTGATAGCTGTGTTAAAGGTAGTCCACAGAGAATGGTCCACCACATGGAGGTTCTCTCAGTTCAGATCCAGAAGGGTCTTTACATTTCTCTTGCAAAAAACCCCCAGCTGAAGGATTGTTCTACAGAGATCCAATAAAACCAAGAGAGGGCCAGTAAAGAAGGTCAATAAAATCAAGGTACTGTTGATAGATTTAAATGTATTGACCACCCAATGGTGCTGACCCAGGATACTGGGGGTAAGAGCAGAATCAAGGAAAGAGAAGAAAAGATGGCATTGCTACTGTTTGATCCGGTGAGTGAGCGAAGGAGGAGAAAGACGCTGAGAGAGTGTTTGAGTGGCGAGAAGGAAAGCAAGTAATTTGGCATCTACGTGGTCTTGGGAGAAATTAGTTGTGACCGAGAAATAATCTGTATTGCACTGACCTGGTTCACCCACTGCATGAAAGCTATTCTTAACTATGGTTTCCTATATCAGCCACTCTTGAGCAACACGTTGATTTACAAACCACTGCTAGATTCGTGCAAGGCTTTAAACTGAAACTACTCCAGCTTTGGGAGGAAAGCCAAACCAATTACTGCTCAGGTGTGAAAAACATCACCGTTGTAGGGGTAGTCCTCAACATATGACCACAAAGTTTCTGTTGTTAAGCGAGTCCTTGGTTAAGTGAATTTTGCCGCATTTTCCAACCTTTCTTGTCTCAGTTGGTAAGTGAATCCACTGCAGTTGTTCAGTTAGTAACCCGGTTGTTAAGTGAATCTGGCGTCCCCCCTTGACTTTGCTTGTCAGAAGATCGCAAAAGGAGGATCCCATGACCTTGGGACATTGCAACCGTCACAAGTACATGCCAGTTGCCAAGCGTCCATATTTTGATCACGTGACTCTGGGGATGCTGCAACACTCGTAAGCATGAAAAACAGGCATCAGTCACTTTTTTCAGTGCGGTTGTAACGTTGAACGGTCACTAAATACAACTGTTGTAAGTTGAGGACTACCTGTATTTCCAGCCCCTGCGTCTCTCCCTCTCCTCTTTGGCGAAGAGTGGGAGAATCTGCGGTTTGCGAAAAAAGAGCTGAATCTCTGCAGACGCCTTCTTCCAGGGCAGACTTCTCAGGCATTGGAAGGGAGGCTGTAGCCGTCAGCCTTCACCTTGGCTGACCTTTCTCTCCCCATATGTCAGAGCAATGTTACTCAGCAGCCATTCTCCTTGACGCGCTTTCTTCTTTCTTCGGTCAGAACATCGTGGCAGCTCACGTGGGTGGGATGAGAGAGAGGGAGGCTTGGAGGCAGCCTCCAGGCACCCTTCAGAGGCAGGGCTCAACTCTCTGCCCAGGGTCTCCGGAGGACTCCAGTTGCAATTCCCATAATCCAGAGTCAGACTCCCTAGAGGGGAAAAAAAAATAAAATCAAAACTTGATTTTTGGGAGAAGGGTCACAGCATCCTTCCATGTTTTCTTAAATCAGTAACTGACCAAAACATCTTTGCTAAAAACTGCTGATGGCCAGCCTAATTGAACTCACAAATGCTGGGTGAAATTGCCCTGCAGCTTCTCCCTCCTTTGCTGAAGAAATCCTAGTGATGCTAAGTATAAACCAAGGAGAGGTCATTGTTGAGCCTATAAGGGCTGCGATTTTTTTTTTTTTATGCGTGTGTTAAATTTCTATCCTGCCTTTCTTCCTGACATTCAAGGCAGCAGGCATAGCCTTTCCTCTTTTGATGGTTTTTTTCACCCTAACAATCTTCTGAGGTGGGGGGGGGAGGGAGAGAGAGAGAGAGAGCGAGAGCGCAGAACTGGCCAAAAATTACTCTTCCAGGAGGAGGAGGAGGAGGAGGAGAGCTGTGTTGTCCTTGGTGCTCTCTGAGCTTCCTGGTTTTCTTGCAGACGTTTCATTACCCAAACTAAGTAACATCATCAGTGCACTGGTACAAGAGAGTTTGATTAAGTCAAGTGTGCCCAACCTTTTAGCTTGCCCGGATCCCGTTGAGTGATCCCATTGCTATAAAATATATAGCAATAGCACTTAGATTTATATACCACTTCACAGTGCTTTTACAGCCTTCTCCAAGCAGTTTAGGGAGTCTGCATATTGACCCCCACCCCCACCCAGTTCTTCCAAAACCATTACTTGTACTTTTTGGACATCAAGAGGTTGTCTCTTTGCTGGGAGGTGTCCCCTTTTTAAAATAACAATGACAGTGTCATCACACAGAACAATGCTCCAAAGGAAGGGTGGATTTTTCCCTCCAAGATAATTCACCTTTTAAAAAGAGAAGGTTATTTTAAGTTCACAGAAAATGCAGGAAAAAAAATCAGCAGAGGAGTGTCTTTCTTGCTGTCTAATCTTCCTTTTTTTCCGGGGGGGGGGGGGAGGGGTGTTATTTTACCAGCCAAATTATTTTATTTGCCAGCTTGTTCATCATTTGAGACATTAATAAATAACATTGAGCTACAATAATTCCACACGTAGTCACAAGGATTGCTGGGCAATCTGCTTCGTGGGCCTCTGTTTTACATATTGATCATTTTCCCCCCTGGGAACTTAAAGGGTTTTGTACTGTTGGGCCAAAATAATTGTCATTTCTTTGAAAACGGTAACAACTGTGCCTGAATGGTGCTGTTAAGTTCCTAGGGGGGGGAAAGAATCATACTCTCTTAACACACAAAGGGTGTATTGCACCACTTTCACAGGCTTGTTGTGAAGATAAGAGATTACATACATTCATGGCGACAACTAGTTTTAACTGGATTAGTATCAACTATATGCTTTTGACCCACACATATGGCCCATCTGCTCTAAACTGCTGCACCCAAATATTGTATATGCAGTCTCTTAATCTAAATAGCCATGCCTTTAACTTTTCACAATCTTCAAAAATTTGATAGAAATTAGCTTTCCTCAAAAGTGGGTGTTCTAAGGCCAGCCTGGGAAAAATATGGAAACCTGCTTGTTTTCTGCATGTCAGGCAGCTGTTAAGACATACGATCCTCTGTTAGAAAGAAAAAAAAATGACTAGTATCAGATGCAAGCAAAAACAAACTTCAGCCTCTATTGCTTGCTCAGATTTCAACCTTCTTGCTGCTTGATTTGGCGGTTCTTGCTAAAAACGTTATTATTCTTGCTAACACTAACCAGAAAGTAAAGCTAGGAGTAACTAAATGAAAATATATTCAAGTAACAATAAATGTAAATAAAAAGAAAGCTTAGTGACATAAAGCAATGATGTATTGAACACTGGTTCAAGAAAAAAAAATAGTAAAGAATCCAACCTGGATTGGTCACAGGGACCAGAAGCTTAATCTTCTGAGATTTTGGATTCGTGCTGGAGCCCATCCTAAGAGAACTTCTCTCAACTGGAATGTGACACATTCCCTGAGGCTGGGCTCCAGCACTTATATTTGCCTTCATCCCTGAAAAATAGTAAAATTTATATTTTTGAAGAAATGCACAGATTACTTTAAGCAACATGAAGAATTTTAAAGATTAACCAATGTGTTTGGTGCATAAATGGATACAGATTGCAGCCAATCTCATTAGCTGATAAAATGCAAATCTTGAATTATATCCACAGTTAAGATTTAAGAGGACTGTAAATAGTGAGGTAAGGAAAAAAAGAAAGAAATGCCACAGATGATGATAAGAGCCATATTAAAATCTCTTCTGGTTTTCCTGCTGTGAAACTGGAAGAGGAGTCTAAAACTCTTATACATTAGCTGTGCATGCTAATATGTACTGTGGGATCCAGTAGGAGTTAGTTCTGAGTACACCCACATATTACTGGCTGAATGTACTTAACACAACTCCCTGTTGTTGCTACGGCCCATCAAGTCAACCCTGATTCCTGGAGATTACAGGGACAAGTCTGTGCAGTTTTCTTAGCAATGTTTTTAGAAATGGCTTCCCACTGCCTTTTTCCTAGGAATGACAAGAGAGTAACTGGCCCAAAGTCACCCAGCCAGCTTCCATCCCTAAGGCAGGATTAACAATCTCCCAGTTTCTAATCCCGCATTTTATCCACTATACCAAACTGGCTGTCTTATTTAACAAAGCTAGGTAGGCAGCCTCATTTTAGGTTAGTATATTGTGCAAATCTCATGTGCAGGACGGGATTAGGGGTTCCCTATCTTAGATGAAACCCTGATAATTACATTAAGTGAGTAAACCATAATTAAGTTAAGCATGGGTAAGTATATTGTACAAACGCAGCTGCTCTTCTGAGATTTTTCTCTTTTGAGTTCCCAGAGAATTTTTTTTAAGTGGCAAATAAAGTAATAACCTCGATTAAGAGTGTTTCAAAACTATTTGCCAGTATCTGAAATGGCCCCAACCTGAATGTCTATGGCAGGGATAGGCAACCTTGGCTCTTTTATGACTCGTGGACTTCAACTCCCAGAATTCCTGAGCCAGCCATGCTGAGGGGAAGGGAGAGCTGAGCCATGCTGGCTCAGGAATTCTGGGAGTTGAAGTCCACGAGTCATAAAAGAGCCAAGGTTGCCTACGCTTGGTCTATGGAGATTCTCAATCATCCAGGTGGTCATGGTTGTCCCAAAGGTGCTTTTTCAAAAGACAACTGGATTTCTTTGGTTTTTCCTTTCGTTGTTTTGCTTCTCATCCAAGAAGCTTCTTCAGTCCTTCAGAAGAAGCTTCTTGGATGAGAAGTGAAACATCTTCAAAGAAAAACGAAGAAAGTCCAGTTGCTTTTGAAGAAACACCTTTGAGCCCTACCTCACATTCCCCAAATATTTTTCATTGGGTTGATAGGCTTATTTATTGCATGTCTCCCAGGAATTCAAGGTAGTTTATCGGAGTGGAACTTCCTCCCTTCATTTTTATACTTTCCAGCCTAATAGAACCATAGATTAAGTTACATAAAAGGTTCAGGATTCTATCTATCAGCATAATATCCCTATAAATATGAACTAAACAAGACCAATTTAAATCTACGGACAGGAAGAAAAAGGAAGTTAAGTTTGAAAATAGACCAGATCTGGCTGAGGGTTGTGGAGGAAAATTAATCTCCCTCAATTTCCCCAATGTATTATCCCAGCTGGAAGAGGCAGCTGGATAGTTACTCAGAGGTTGCCAGTTGTCCAGTGAGATCCCTCCTTACCCTTAGTCCTGTATCCCAGGATGTAGACCAGGGGTCTTCAAACTTGGCCCTTTTATGACTTGTGGACTTCAACTCCCAGAATTCCTCAGCCAGCGTGCCTGGCTGAGGAATTCTGGGAGTTGAAATCCACAAGTCATAAAAGGGCCAAGTTTGGTTTGATGTAGACTACGCCAACAAGCATACATAGAGATAATATGGAAAGCAGAAACATGTCTAGATAGTGTTACTATTTGTTATCCTGAAGAAAATGTAGAAGACACTGCAACATCTTTGTTACACTGATGAAAATGTAGATGCCACTGCAACAAATATGCTGAAGCAAATATAGATGCCACTGCAACATAGTTGTTACTCTGAAGAAAATATAGATGCCACTGCTGCATATGTTACTTTGAAGAAAATATACATGCCGTTGCTGCTACATATATTACTCTGAAGAAGACGTAGATGCCACTGCTAGTAAATGGGTTGGATAGAGTCCCCAAACCTTGCTCTCTGCTGGTTATCCCAATGTGGCAACTTGTGGGATAGGTTGGAGCGAGATTGCCCCCTGAGGAGTCCCCATGGCTGAGGGTGGACTTGAATGTGGCTTTTCATGCGAATACAACTGTATCTCAAGTGTCCATTATTCTTTACTGGTTTGTTATTACGTGATGCCCATTCCTTTACTGTGGTGATACAGGACTTTCCAGCTTGGTTCATCTTCCAGCACGTGATAACTTCTTGGCCAGAAGTGACTTAAAATTCTGCATTTCCCATGCTTATTAAAGCCACCTTTTCCACAGTAGGTTGACCTGGGCAATACACCGCTTGTTCACACGGCTGGTCTTGTAGTTGGTAGGAGGAATCCCTTCTGCAGTGAAAGCAATTCATATCCCCCCCCCCAGGTGGGAAGCAAGAGAGGCCATTAGTTACACAAGCAATAGGTCTTAATTGCCACCCCTGATTCTTCTCACCTCCTACAGCTCTGCGTTAACTTGTTCCACTTGAGAAAGCAAAAAAAAATATATCTACTCCGAAGGGCTGAATCAAAGCCTAGCCCACGTGTAGGCAGAGGCAAGGGCTCTTAGTCATCTTGAAGCTACTACCTTCTGAAGGAGCAGCCTTCCCAAAGCTTCTTCCCCCATATGCTGTCAGCTGCTTTAGCTGCCCCCAGAAGTGACAGCAGGAACTCAGCTGGGGCCATCTGGTGCCAAGTCACTAGCCCACAAGAAATGAGAGCTGCTAGCTTTAAAGAAGGAGAGAAATTTAATGGAGGAAGAGAAGGAGGAGGAATCTCTTAGTGGGTTGCAATTATAATAGCCATGTGGGATCTCTAGGAGCTTCTAAACACTAATTTCTTTGAAATGGAAATAAAAGCTTTCACTTCCTGTTTTGTTCTGGAGCTTCTCTGCTTGCCAGCATCAGAAAGAGGATGCCAAGCTAGTCCTTTTTGACAGATACCCAAATTCCCCAGAGAACTCCATTTAATAATGGGCATATACTCCAACTCTTAGTGTAGTTTGAACTAAGAATAGTAGCTTACTATTCTTGTCAGAGAAGAGTCGTGTAGTCTATGATAAACAAAGCCCAGTGTTTTCCAATTTGTTTTATGAAAAACACAAGTTTATCCCTTGCAATAATATTTGTTAATCAAAAAAGGAGCTTCCAGATTCCTTCTGAATTTTAGCTGCGTATTCAAGCAAGAATGGTGAGCTCATTGCCTTCTAGGCGTTGCTGTATTACAATCTGCAGTAGCCTCAGCTTGTAGAATAAGTGATGAAAAATGCTGGGAGATGCCAGTTACATGCAGAGATCTTCAGGGTCCTTACCCTGTCCTTATTTTTTATTCACGGTGTGTGTGTGTATGCACACACACACAAATACGCATTCTCTCTCAAGAGCTCTGGGCAGCTGGAGAGAAGATTCTCTATTCAGTGTAGTTCCATAGAGGCAACGTTGGGAGTAGGGTTTGACTGAGAGAGGCTGACTCCAGATGATCTAGTCATCTATGTGGTCTACTAGGGACTTCACCTTGATCTTCCAGAGTGAAATCCAACACTTAAACAGTGCTGGTGCTAAAAGCAAGTGAGGAACACTATCTGCCTGGGCTGACCGGAGATAATGGGAACCAAAGTCCACCATATTGGCATGCACCAAGTCAGGAAAAGCTTTTTCCTCAAAAGATAGGTAGGGCTTGACAGTATGGTGCTGGTGGGAGATTCAAGAGGTGAGGTGCTTTAAGCCAGGGTTGTCCTACCTTGGCAATGTTAAGACATGTGGACTTCAACCCCCCCCCCAAGAGTCCCCAGCCGGCCATTCTAAGAGTTGGTCCACAAGTCTTAAAGTTGCCAAGGTTGGACACCCCTGCTTTAAGCTTAGAAAGGGATAGGAGTTGGCTTACCTTTGCTTTTTCCATAAGTGCTGTGGCAGATCCTTTTTCCTCAAGATTAACTTGAAAGGAAGAGCCTTCTCCAACACCTTGGACAAAAGGAATCACAAGTAGCTACCACCATGTGGCTTCTTTGCATTGCAGCCCATGCTGAACAGAAGTTGCCTCTCTTTCTAAACAATTTCTCCCAGTTGTTAGCTATGTATCATGTTCTTCTGAAATACTTCCCATTACATTCTCAGGGTATCTATGAAGAAAGAAAACCCAAAGCTTTTGAGCAAGTACAAAAACCTGCTTTGTCTAAGCCAGTGGTTCTCAACCTGTGGGTCGGGACCCCATTTGGGGTCAAACGACCATTTCACGGGGGTCGCCAAACAATGCAGTCCGCCATTTTCTTTTCCCCTTTTCCTTAGCTGTGCTACTCCCTTTTATTCTATTGGCTTTTGAAAGCCAATAGAATAGACTCTCTTGAATAGAGTCTAATTCTATTGGCTTTCAAAGCCAATAGGAATTGTCCAGGCTGTCTCTGCCCTGCTGAGCCCACCAAAAGTCCCATTCTGCAAACGGTGCTGCACCAGTTGAGTAGTCCTCAACTTACGACCGGTTGGGGGTCGCGGCATTAAAAAGGTTGAAAACCACTGGTCTAGGCAACTCAAGTTGGTATAAAAATGCATCTAAAAAGTGGAGACAGATTTTCCCCATACCTTCTGTATCAGATAAGCCCAACATGGAATACAGCTGGATTTTCTAAGCACCTTCCCTCTTCTCTTGAAAACACTGAAGAGGATTATTTGGCTGTGAGCCACTCTGATCCTTGCTATGGAAAAAGGAACAAATTTGTAAACTAACAGAAGCAGCACAGGAATATAATGACTTGCTTCATATGTTGTAGTGGGCCAGGTCTGATTTGCCAGCCTCCTTTTTTTGTGCTTCCCAAGTGGGTGGGAGCAAAAATATACAAACCTTTTGCCCTCAGAAAAATGGGGTGGTTAAGCTGTGCAAGTGCTGAAGGCACCAGAGCAGTGATGGCGAACCTTTTAGAGACCGAGTGCCCAAAAACTGGCCCCGCCCTGCTCCACCCCCTGCCCCGCCTCCACCCACCTGCCCGCAGGGCCACTCACTGCCTCCAGGGGCCGCTGCAGATCACCCAGGCAGCCCAGCAGCACCATGGCAGCCACGCCCTCTGGCCGTGTCCCGCAGCATCAACTGTGGGCGATGGAGTGTGAGGGCAGAGTCTTGTCTATGCTGCCTGGCTGCCATGTCCTTGGCTGCGCTGCTCCGTGTGGGCCACACTCGGGGGCGACTCTCCTCCAGGGGGGCTGCTGGTGAGGAGGGGGGTCGCAGGGGAAGGCATGGCTGGGGCAATGACACGTGTGCCCACTGAGAGGGCTCCGAGTGCCACCTCTGGTACCTGTGCCATAGGTTCACCACCACTGCACTAGAGTGAGCATTAAAGGTCTTTGACCCTCCCTAATTTTTGATATTGCAAGAGCAATAGCACTTGGACTTATATACCACTCCATAGTTCTTTATAGCACTCTCTAAGTGGTTTTAGAGAGTCAGCCTATTGTCCCCAACACCCTGGGTCCTCACCACCCTGACCTCGGAAGGATGAAAAGCTGAGTCAACCTTGAGCCCCTCAGGATCGAACTCCTGGCAGTGGGACTGCAGAGTCAGCCTGCAATACTGCATTCTAACCACTGCGCCACCACGGCTTCTAAGTAACTTTAAGTAGGTTACGTTGGGGTAAATCACCCTTGACTGCTTTGCACAACCCCTTAATTGAACCAGGGCAATGCCTGAATCCAAGCAAGGCCAAACTGTTCTTCCCATTTAATTCAAACCAGCTGCTCACCAATCTCCAGAGTGGCTGTCATGATGGTTTTCCAGCTCTGCCGGAAGCTGCTAGAGACCAGACGGGTTCTTCTGCCTAGGAGTCAAAAACTACAACTATCTCATGAGCTTGAGTAGACCGTGAGAGGTGGATCATGGTCACTGGGGTAACTGATCGCAAATCCTGGGTCCCCAGAAACAGCAGAGGAATTAGTTCTCTTTCTAGTTTTGGAGAGGAATGCTGTCCTTGGGATCTCAAGCTGGCTGCTTCCTTTCTGGCAGGCAGGCTGGAGAGCGGTTGCTGTGGCAACCGCAGGGTTACTGCACCACCTTTCCTTATCCTTGGATGTGCCGGATTCCCAAACTGACAGCTTTAAGGATGTCGAATCCCTGGCTGGCTCCCCCTGATCCAGCTGGTGAAGATCCTGATGGCTGTGAAATACAGCCACAATTGAATCCAAAATTTACGTGGTTCAGTGAGACGTTTGTTAAGTGAGTTTTGCCCCCATTTTTTATGACCTTTCTGGCCATAGTTCTTAAAGTGAATCACTGCAGCTGATAAGACGATAACCTGGGTTGTTAAAGGAATCTGGCTTCCCTATTGACTTTGCTTGTCTGCAGGTCACAAAAGGGGATCACGTGGCCCTGGGACACGGCAACGGTCATAAATCTGAACCCGTTGCCAAGCATCTGACTACATGTAGTAGGGAAAATTCTTACACCTTGTCCTTCTCTACCTGGGAAGCTGCCTCTTGCCTTTTTGCACTTCAGAATCATGTCCCAGCTGTCACATTGCCCACACTGTACACGGGCAATAAACTTGAGGAGATGGCTCCAGATGGGTCAGCGATAAAAAAAGCTGATCTGTTGACATGTGCTTGTGTCACGTGCTTGTGTCAGCCGTCCCAATGCCTCCTTCAGAGGCAACTTGAAGGATCACCAGAGATCAATGCTTCTCTCAGAGGGCATCCTGGCTCTGGGGTTCCTTTCGCTCTACGGCACTGCCTCCATTGTCTTTGAGATAATAATAATAATAATAATAATAATAATAATAATAATAAATAGCAGAATAGAAGAGAAAGAACTGGAGAAGATAACAAAATACAAAGACCTACAAATAGAAATAGAAAGACTGTGGCAAAAGCATGCAAGGGTAGTACCAATAGTCATAGGCTCCTTGGGTGCAATCCCAAAACAACTGGGGCACCACTTGAACACCATCGGCATTGACAAATTCGCTATTAGTCAATTGCAAAAGGCGGCCTTATTAGGAACTGCTTCCATCCTGCGACGATATCTGTAATACCATCAAACATCCAGATCTGCCTATCCCAGGTCCTGGGTAAGGACTCGATAGGTAGACAAAATGCCAAATCCAGTCTGAACATCTGGCTGACTGTGTGATGATCAATAATAATAATAATAATAATAATAATAAAGTTGGAAGGGACCTTGGAGGTCATCTAATCCAAATCCCTGCAGGAAACTCTATATCATCTCAGACAAATGGTTGTCCAGTCTCTTCTTAAAAACTTCCAGTGTTGGAGCATTCACCACTTCTGGAGGCAGGTTGTTCCACTGGTTTATTGTTCTCACTGTCAGGAAGTTTCTCCTTAGTTCTAGGTTGCTTCTCTCCTTGATTAGTTTCCATTTGTTGTTCCTTGTCCTGCCTTCAGGTGCTTTGGAGAATAGCTTGATTCCCTCTTCTTTGGGGCAGCCCCTGAGATATTGGAACACTGCTTCTTGAATTGGCCTCCAGCTTTTCAATCTGTCTCTTTTCTATCCAAATTATTAATTCTTGTTAGTTTTTATCTTTCTATCTGGAAAACCCAATAAAGTTATTTCAAAAGAGAAAAAGAGACCAGTCCATCAAGGGAAGATGCAGGCCTTTTCTGTGACCTCTGCACGCTTTCTGACATGCCACCAATGCAAACTCTCACAGACAGATGTTGCCTCAAGAGAGGCATTGCAGAACAGCCTGAGTCAATTTGTCTAGAGATTTTGGACTACTGCCTGTCATTCTTTACCTATTGCCCAGACTGGCTAGACTGAAAGAATTTGGTGTCCTACTGCAGCCAGGGAAGACTCCATCCACTCAATTTAGTCTACATCCTGTATTGTAGAATTGCTGCTTTGTGAGCATTGTGCAAAGGCACCGAGGCTGGTTAAACTCCAAATATGTACAATCCAGAAAGAACACTTTTCTTCTGGCTGTATATATAAGCATCAGTTAAAATCGGATTGTCATATATCTTAGAAATCCTGGGATTGTCCTTTAAAAGAGTGTAATTCTTCATACCTGCTTTGTTGTTGTTGTTAATTGCGAAGTTGTGTCCGACCCATCGCGACCCCATGGACAACGTTCCTCCAGGTCTTCCTGTCCTCTACCATCTTCTGGAGTCCATTTAAGTTCATGCCTCCTGCTTCAGTGACTCCCTCCAGCCACCTCATTCTCTGTCGTCCCCTTCTTCTATTGCCCTCAATCTTTCCCAGCATTAGGCCCTTTTCCAGTGAGTCCTTCCTTCTCATTAGGTGGCCAAAGTATTTGAGTTTCAACTTCTCATACCTGCTTAACTCAGACTAATTGTGTTACCTTTTAGAACAAAGATAAAAGCCCAAATATTTTCAAGACTAAACTTGTTCCTTATACTATTTAGCTGTCATTTTTAAAAATTTCTTCATCAAAAAACAATAATCTGATTTCTTATAGTTAATAGCCAGTAGCTATACTTTATAAAAATCCTAACTTTTTCAGTAGTTAGGATTTGGTAGTTATTGTAAGTTATCCTCCTGTTCATGATAAATAGAAAAGTTATGTAATTTCTCCCATAGCAATTAGTGAGACAAATGTCAGCTTTTTCTGTCCTAGAACATTCTGATTTTTTCCATGAGAGGTAATAACACTTGCTGTGCTCTGAGCATTTGTTTTGGTTGAAGTCCCCTGTAGAACTAAAAGTATTTAACGCAATACATTATAAAGTTAATGTTTGGTCCCATAAAAGATATAGTCTTTCATCTGTGCTAAGAATCTGCTGCCATCTAGTGCATCATTAAAACGGAATACATATAATTATCTGAGGATCTGGTCTGCTTCAATATAATACTTTAGCACTTCTTTAAAGAGGTTTTCGGGCTAACCACTTGACAGAAAGAAGATATCCTTTCAGGTCTAAACATTTTCCAAAAGTTAAGTACCCATTAATTTGGGTACTGTAGCCCAAATTAATGCATTATTCTTGCAAGGGGGGGGGGAAACCAAATTTTCCCTAAACCAGATGCCTTTAGAACATCTGAGGCAGACTTTCTATGAGTTCCAGCTTTTGGAAAACATGAGGATGATGGGAGTGCCTGCCACTCATGAAAATGCAGTTGCATGCATGCTCACTTAACCATTGCTTGTTTGGCCTGGTTCCCAACAACCGTTGCCTGGTACTGGGCCCTGAAAATATTTGGGCTTTTATCTTTGTTCTAAAAGACAACACTATTAGTCTGAGTTAAATAGGTATGAAGAATTTGGAACCCCTGATATAGACCAAATCATCCATAGACCCCCATTTTGGGAAAGGCTGGCCTCATGGAAACTGATAAATAAATGGAACATGCCCACTGGGAGCTCCTGGCAATAAAATCCAACTTCTCCAGAGATAGAAGACCATTATACTGCTTTGATGCAACTGACAAGATACGAAATACAAAAACATGGGTACATTATATTACATAATATCACCAAGTCAGTCTTCTTTCTTCTGCGAGTTTTCCAGATGTTGGACTACAAGCTTCCAGAATTCTTAGCTGCTGACCATGCTGGCTATCAATCTCTATGTTCCTTTGAAGGCCAGTGGCATAGGAAAAATCAGAAATCATCTGGTAGCATCTTTCCAGAATAAAGGTATATTTTTAAAAAGCATAGGTTTCCTGAATCGTAGCTTACTTCGGCAGATAGCAGACTATTTTGTTAGTCTGAAAAGATACTAACAGATTTATGATTTGGGGGGGGGTACCATAATTCTTTCTGCAACATAAAGTCGCTCCAAATCTACATATTCAAAACAGCTGTTCTTGACAAGAGACCCACTGATAAAATGCACGGGGAACTGAATGCAGTCCTTTATTCCTTCAGTTACATAAGAGAACCTACTGAGATGTCATTTCAGGGTCATCACTTACAAGGTGCATATGCTATTTCATGATGTGATAACGGTGGCAAATTCTGTCCTCATAAGCTATCCTGCATGCACACAGCTCAGCTTGACACTGTTGCTTTGTTCTCTGCTCTTGCTGGATTAAGACTTAAAAAAAACGCACGTGCAATCTTCGCAAACTCACTTGGCAGGTTGGTAAAGACGCCTTCAAATGGAGGAAGGAAAAAAAAAAAGATGCTAAGAAAGTGACCCATATAGGAAATCCCCAAGTGAGACAAGACTTAAAAGTCCAGATTTTGCCAAGCTTCTCACTTTCAGAGAACACAGTAGCGCAAATGCAGCATTAAGTCTGGACTGGACTTTAACACGAACGCAATGGAATGATTAAGGTGATCATGTGAAGAAGAAAGAAATGTGAAGTGTTCTCGGCTTCTCCTCAGTCACATCAAACACAATATAATCAAGAACCTGCATATAAATAAAAGGTCAAGAATCTTTGAAGATCAATATACAACTTACCACTGCTCCCGCATCTCGGCCAGGGACAAACCGAACCATTCTCTATTTGCAAAGGGAACACATTTTTGATTTTTTTTCCAATCTGCAAACCCCACTGGAGGGCCAGCCCACATATTTGTTTAAATGTATTTTGTTTGCTTTACTTAGCAATTGTGCAGTCTCCCGAGGGGTGGGCAAAGCACAGATAAAGTGTGCATCTTCTTCTTGTGCTGCATTCCAAGCAAAAATAATCTTGCTGGAAGTATCCAAGCCTTTTTGCTCAAGCAGCTGCAGAAACCCTTTCTCCGGCAATTTTCATCTTAACAGATTACAGTAATATGTTTTGCCAAAAGATTAAACAAAACCAGTGGTTTTCAGCAGCTGAAGATTATGATCTATTTGCTGATACTTGTATATGATCACAAGAAGCACCACTTTAAATTTCCTGACACGGGAAAGGGAGAAAATGCCAATTAAATTAGTTTTGTTGTCAAAACTAGCCTATTTATAAGCCTGTGTTAATTTTTTTTTTCAATACCGAGGACACATTATCAACAGTAGCATCAATTATTGTAGTCCTAGTTTGCATCAAACTGTATCATAATGTATTAGTGCCAATTTGCACAATGATAGATGAAATTCATGCCTATTATGAATTTTCTTTCTTAAGTAATTTTCTGTGCTCGGTAAGCTACAGAGCAGGGGTACTCAACCTTGGCTCTTTTATGACTCATGGACTTCAATTCCCAGAGGTCCTGGGAATTGAGTCATAAAAGAGCCAAGATTGACTTCCCCTGCTATAGAGCATTGCAGAAAGGCAGAATATTGGATTTGCAGAAACCTGAAATTCATCCCATTAAAGGCTCGGACTCCATTAAACAAGGTAGGTAAATGAGCCTCTTTGGCAACCCAAATCTTCCATCAATGAAATAGCTGCTTTGAGACACAGTTCCTTTGCTTTATGGTTACAGCTAGCTACAATTCTTTTGATGACAATTCATGGGATAAGTTGTTGTACACTTCTAGCTTTTTACAATAGTTCTGATTAAGGATTACGGACTGTGAGTGACATTTCTGGACTTTTTAAAAAGAGGCACACTAGCTTTAAGAGAAGTACAATTTAACATCCATACTGAATGGGTAGCAAGTCTGCTTCTTTGGGCAATTAAAATACAGTCCTTATGTACAAGGACACCTTCAGAATGTTGCAAGTGCTTTCAGCCACATTGTTTGGAGATGAGCGGATTTCCAGTGCAGAATCAAGAGGGTGCTTTATACACCAGCTGGGACATGTCACTAATCTACCATACTGCCTTCCCTGCTCACAGCACTGAGCCTGCAAAGTTATGGTCTGAACAGCTCCTTACTGCTCCATTCTACTTGGCCAGAAAGGTGGATCAGGCTGTCCTGATCTGAGTAAATCAGACAACTAAGCCAGCTGGACACACTTTAAGCCAGAAGATCAGGCTTTATTTATAAGCCAGACACATCTCAGTTTGATTTTATTTTAAAACCAAAATAAATAAATCAGGCTGGGAGGTGACAGGGAGATCCAGAACGGAGCTGGCCCAGAACAGGCAAACCTCCTCCCTCACCAGTCTAAGTTTTGGCAAAGGCTAGCCACACCGGCATTTTTATTTCCTTTCTCCTTTTGCAGAGCCAAAAGAGCACACACTGCACCATCGCTTGCAGAAACCATACAACCACAGCCTTGAAAGTCTAGGTGTCTCAATGTAGGAATTGCTTGGAATGTGCTGTTTGCGCTAGCAAAGCAACACAGATGCATAAAGACTTTATTCATTGGGTAGCTCACTCTCTCTGTGTGGCTGACAGCCCACACAAGGAGTGGCATGACTTTTTGGGCCATGCCCAGAATTTAGCCAGATGGAACCCTTATTGAACATATAGCACTGAAGGCAGCAACCAGGAAGTTTCTTAGGGCTGTGCATGGTCTGAAAATGATTCGGATGTGCTCTGGAACCGGCAAGAACACAGCTCTTCTCTGGGGTTCCTTAAACTCACCTATCTTTTTTTTTTCCAGAGGTCTTATGAAAGCTTAAAAAACAGGCATCCAACTCACTGAGGATAATACTCCTCTTAAAGAAGTCACATCTTTGTCTCAAGCTTGTATGTGGACGCTTGAAAAAGACATGAAGGCTTAATGAACAGCAGCAAGTCACTGTCCTTGTGCAAGTTCTGAAGCATTTCTTGCAAATGATTTTCAAGACATGCACAGTCTTGGTGTATGTGTGTCTTTTTGGAGGTATGGACCTCTGATGTGGCATAGAGCGTGCCATTTAGAAGCTCAGATCAAAGCAGAACACAGAATGAAGAAAGCAAAAGCAAAAAGTCAAGCCCACTGAATGCAGGAGAGCATCTATCTTGAGCACCTTTGGCTAAGAACGTCTTCTGCTGTTGTCCTGGGTCAAAGCAGTGACAGGCAACAGCAGTTACCTGGAAGCCACTACCAGTTCTTGAATGGGTAAAAGGAGCTTAACAGCAGCAGCTGTCCCTGCCACAAAGGACATGTGAGCTTGCATTGCCCAGTGATGGTTCTTGAGCTCTGGACTTCAGGTGGATGAGAGGGAACACTGACACAAGAAAAGCCAATCTAAATTTTCCATTGTGTGCTTCAATTACGAAGTAGAAATTTTCACGTTTAGGTGGAATCTCTTCAGTGCTTTTAGAATGCCACTACCTTAAGAATCTTGTTTTAGATAGAAAAAGATGTGCTGAAAAGCCAAGGAAACTCAGCGCCTGGGAAACCTCCAAAAAGACACAAGACAGGAACCAATCAAATTGAGGACATTCACAGAATGGATGTTGGGAACTACTTCCCAACTTTTTTGATTTAAGCCGTCAACTGTAATTGATTTCGCCCATCAGAAATGACGTGGCAATGCCCAGTGGCATGAAGTGTACAGTAAAAAGACCATATGAGTTGTTTCCCCAATCAGAAGGGCACACAATCTAACCTCTGCTTACAGTTTATGCCCGTAATACGTAAAGTATCTTAAGTATAAGTATTTCAGCAAATAACGTGTGTGTATGTGTGTGTATTCATCTATGTATCCATATGCACAGAAAACCATGTGCATGATAGAAACATGGCTGAAAACTTACTCTTCAAATTAAAGTATTACACAGGCCAAAAGTGGACTTTCAGACTTTTTAAAATCTGTCACTCCCACATACACAAGTACTCCTTAAAATATAGTTATGCTCCTAGGTAAATGCTGTGAAAGAATTATATCTTCTAGATTAAATGAGTGTAAAATCAAGGTTACACACTTTTGCCTAAAATCTGCGGGTAAATGGATGTTCTGAATATAGAGGGGGGGGGGAGATTTCTGCTCAAGAGATAGAACAGAATCTCTAATTAAGCAACTTTTACTGGTGTATAGAATTACAAAGCAAAGAGAGAGCTAAGCATCTATACAGTTTCTTAGCAGGGACGTGAGAACTCAATGAATTTTCAGAACTTTTAGGTGTGCTCTTTTCTAGATACAGAGTCAGAGCGAAAAGCTGGGCGATGCTGAAGACCCTTATAGTTATGGCCATGGTGGGGCATATAAAAAAAAAGTGTGTTAGATGCCAATATTCAAACAGGTCCTCCTCCAGGATGTGATTTGAATTAGTGAGAGTTACAATTTGGTTAAAACAAGCATCTGAGTCTGTGCCTTGCAGATTGTTCTGCTTCCTTCATGAAAAGAAACAAGATTTCCATAAAATATCCTCAAAGAAGTAGTCTAGTGGAAGACAATGCTAATTGTTAAATAACAGCAGTAAAACAGTGTGTGCCCAGGATTTTCAGTGTCAGAAATGTGGGATATAACTGAATGGAGATACTGTCACCGAAAGCAAGGGCTATACCAGATCACACACACCTTGAGTACAATGGGGGATGAAAATCATAATTTGTCGCAAAGCAGTGCCAGCTCCAGATTAATTTTGGGATTGCAGTCAAGAATTAGGCATTAACTAGAAGCCACCATACCTTCCACCACAAAAGGCCAATATTAACCCCTTCAAAGCTCTCCTCCCGGAGCAGTGGGGCAAGGTAAGCCCCAGGGGTTTGTGCAGGAGTGAACCCACACTGCTCCAGAAGATCTGAGCTGTAGCAACACTCAGAAACCTTAACACAAATACCCAGACAGGGATTGTTGATGGGGCACTTCTTTTAACAGCAGGAAGAGGTTAATAACAGGCTCCTTAAGTTAGTTTACAAGGTCTAGTAGTTAAGGACACAGAAAGGAAGTGATAGATAGAAACACCACAAACACAGGATGCTGGGACAGAACGAGGTCCAGGTGTCTCTAAGACAAGCCCTTGAAAGAGTCGAGGTTGAAGGCGGTGTCCAGCAAGCGTTGCAGTTCGGTCAAGTGATTCTTTTTGTTGCCTGTCGCCGGGGCAGCAGCTGGTTCTCGGCCAGCATACCTGGAGGGAGAAAAGCAGAAGCACAATTTGCTTACTTGCAATTGCCGCTCGTGGCTCTTTATTTATTTATTTAGTATATAGCATATCATTAATGGACTAGCAATCTATACAAATAAAAATGTAAATGTTCGTTTGTTCAAAATCTTAAATCTCCGAAAGTTCTTCACCAATTGCTTTGAAATTTTGACACAATGTTGCATTTGAATACGTGCGTGTTTTTATATACCTAAATTATATAGATGTCACACCTGTGACAGGTAAAACATGCTTTTTTTGAAAAATAGCGCCATCTGATGGACGTAATCTCTATATCTGCACACACAATGGAACAACAAAAAATATTGTATACCCATAAGTATTGTGAAATTAAACATATTACAAACGTGCACTTAACCTAGATTAGTAAAACACAATAAAATCTAAATGTTAAAAAGATCTGTGTTCGAATACCTGTTTTTAGGCCATCTAACCACTGAGCTGCATATATATTAAAAAAATCAGATACTGGACTGGTATATGCCCCTCAGCTTACAGACAGTCACGATGTGATCTATAGTTTGATGTGGGGATCCCCACAGTCAGTCACACTGACAGCAGGATGCCATGTCTCATTTATACCGAGAATCCTGGCAGATGCTGTGTGAGGTTCGAATCCTAATTCAGGATTGTCCATTGCTGATGTGGTAGTTCAAAGTTTGGTGTTTTTTTTTTCTCGTGTGGAGGGGCTATTTGTCTTATGTCTGGGTGTTCAGCAACCCGTTTGTCTTTCTATTAGGAATTAATGTTAAACCGTGCTTAAATTGTTAAATTTGAGTGACACGTACAGGATTTGAGTGGCTGTTGTTGCCCCAAAAAACAAAGGCTGGGCTACTGAGACCCTCTATGTCAGTAGGTTGCTCCTTTTTCTCTTCTGCTCTCACTGGGAATGGACTGATTGTGCCAGAGCAACTGTATAAAACTGTCCCTCTATCAGAGCAGCTGAAGAAGCCCCTTACCACACTGGCTTTGCACGGTCAATGGTTGTGCGGAGTCTAGGCTTCACGTAATCATAATATCCTTGGTTTTTGTGCTCTTCTTGACACCAAACTAGGTCCGCATTGGGGTATTTGTGGAATTCCTTCAGCAGGAGGTCAAAAGGGAACGGCGACAGCTAGAAAGAAAAGGCCTCGGGTTTATTATGAGTGATTTTCAGCTTTATAAACAAATTGCAGTAGGAAAATTGAAAAAAAAAAAAAAGATCAATCTGGTTCACAAGCCCCGTGGGAAAATGGAAAAAACAAGCATTTAATCCATAAGACACTTATACGGTTAAAAAGAAAAAAAAAGGAGGGGGGGTGAGTAATATATCAGAAATTTAAGAAGTTGTTAAGGCCAAGAAAGGACTTTCATTTAGCAATAAATTGGGCCTAATCCAAATATCCTGCAGGCAAAGTCAGATCACTCATACTTTAACCTCCATCTTGGCTCATATGCTAGGAGGAGTGAAGAGAAAATTCATAAGGCCTGCTAAGACATTTGCTGCACAAATATTTTAGGGTTCATGTCAGAACCAGATGTCTGTCAGAAACCTGCAAAGTACTGCAAAAAGCCTGACTCTACTTCAGAACTACACTCCACCAAACAAAACCAGAGGACTAGAATATGCCTGATAATTAAAATTTATTTTTGCCAGCGGAAGACTTAGCCATTTGGAGTAGCAGTTTGGAATTCTTTAACTTCTGGTTTCTAAAATTCTACTGAGTTTTGAAGTACTTATGGTTCAGAGCTCAAAAAGCACATAATACAAAATTGTACAAAATACAGTTCCCACAAAAAGCCCCACCTGCTCTACTCTTGTGATGGCCACAACTGCTTCCATATTCCGCGTCTTCCGCTCTCGAATAAGTTCATAATAAACTTTACCAGTGCAGAAGAGAACTCGTTTAACCTGTTCTGGATTCTGAGCTGCCAGACTAGTGTCTGGGATGATACGCTGGAAATGGGTGCCTGGAAAGCAGTGGAGGTTATTATTTTCGTTATACATCAGTGTGCATCGTAAAACCTGTTCCAAGGAGTTTATAAACCAAGAGGAAGGTGACAAATATGAGGAAGATTACAAAGGACAGAATTAATGGCCGAGTATCTTTTCCAGAAAGACCTGATCTGGTTGTCAGAAACCACACTATGCTTTGATGCCCTGCAATTCAAAGCTTTTGTTAAATGCAAGCAGCAACACAGCACTAATTCCTGCTCATGTCTTTCTTCACAGGAAACTCCAAGTAAAAAGCAAAGTGTTGCGCTGCCTCTCTCGGAGGAGCAAAATCACAAAATTCGTGACCTTAAACCAAGGTCTCAAGCTCTGAGTCAGAAGCAAATGAGAGCTCCAACTAGTTTGCTACACATAAGCTCTTTCCCTGGGTATCGTTTAGTGAGGGTGATAATTTTTTTCGAGCACAGAACCAGAACTAGCACAGGACATCCAAAACAGACTCTGCTCCTAGGAAGGCTAGCAGATCTTTAGGAAGGCTAAAGGCAGAGTTGCCACTGTGGCCTGTGAACTTTCAGAGTTTCCTTGCCCAATGGTTCAGTCACCTCTTCCCTCCTAACAAAGAAGACATTCCCTCCCTAGCCCTGAACCCAAGGCTACTGTACCTGCCAGCATTTCATCAAAGCTGGACCGAGCTTCAGGGTGACGCAACAAGGACTTTGGAGTGAAGACTATCAGCTAAAAAAAAAGAAAAAAAAAGAAAAGAAAGTGGGAGGGAGGGAGGGAGACAGAGGGCCAGGGGAACACAACCCAAATTAATATTGAGGTGTAAGAACTGAAGTGTTCAGAATTTAATTAAAGAACAATAATCCAAAGTTAGTTATTCAAAGGTTCTGTTTTTGAACATCATCAGAACTGCACCCAGAGTTACTAGGAGGGCACTGACCAAAGAGAAACGCCAGGCACACAATCAGATGATGCTATATACCAGGATCAAGTAATTTTTCATACTCATCAGCAAGATATTTAGCAGGAATGCAAAACAATAAAAGTGCTCTCTTCGGTAACAATATCTTTACAGATCCTCTGAAATGTTTGATTTCAATCATTTCTTGAATAAGACTCAAATGGTGGTAAGAGTGAAATCCAAAATGCACACTTGCTGGGATGCTATAGAGCAGGGGTCCCCAACCCCCTATCCATTGACTGGTACTGGGCTGTGGCATGCCAGCAACTGGTCTGCACAAACAAGGAAAGCCCCATCTACAGGTTGCAGGCAGCACACAAAAGCACGCACCCTCCAATCCGTGGAAAAACCTCTCTCCACATAACCGATCCCTGGTGCCCAAAAGGTTGGAGACCTCTGCTATAGAGAACCTAAGTATTTTGGATCTGTGGTTTAGCTTTTGGAATAGTAGTATATTTGAATTATCAAAGTAAAGATAATGCTCTGAAAAGTAAGGAAGCCTCAAGAAAGTAATGAATAGAAGGAATGCCAGCAGATTTCATGGATCCAGGTGAGTGAAGGAAGCTGGCTGAGATGGCTTTAAAATACAGTTATGGAGGATTCTTCTTCCAGCAGCTATGGTGGCTATGCAGGCTTCTTATCTGCAGAAGCTATAAACCTGGATGCCAAGGGGGGGCGGGGAGGGCCATAGTCTTAACTCTGGGCTTCTTGGCTTTCCAAAAGCACTGAGTTAAAGGCTATTGGAATCAGGATGCTGGATTGGATCCATTCTAGCTGTTCCAATCTGCTAACACTGTATAGGTAGTCCTTGATTAACGACTATTAATTCAGTGATCTTTCAAAGTTATGACATTGGACTCTTGGCAGCCTGTCCACATTTACAGTTACAAGGTGCACTTCGACTCTACCCACCTGCCTATCCCTCCTCCCCATCTGTTCTTTTGACTGTCCTGTGCTTTGCCACCCTTGCTGCCCTGCACCCCCACGGCCCTTGCTGCCCACAGCTGATCTTGCATCTTCTTCCACAACGAGGTGCACCCAGTTTGGCCCTTCCTGAAGCAGCTGTAGGCAGCTGCTGGCATGCCTCAGCAGCAGCAGGAGGAAGAAAATGGTGAACGTCAGCTGGGGCAAGGGAAATGCCAGTCAGGCTGACAGGAGTGGTGGCATGGAGGATGGCAGGAGCAGCAGAGGGAACCGGAGCAGCAGGGGCAGTGGAACGCAGGAAGGACGGCGGGGCGGGGGAGAGGTGACAAGAGGGCAGGATGGGAGATGGACAGATGAATGGGAAGAGTTGAAGTGGAATGAGAATGGCGGGGCAGGAGAAGTAGGAGATCCTGGCCTAACAACTGCAACTGGAACCAATAAATTTACCATCTCCAAGCAGTGCAGTCTTGATGTTTCACCTAATGATCACATCTCTTAATAACAGAAATTCTGACCCCAATGGGGGTTGTTAAGCGAGGACTACCTGTATTTGAAACTTCCTTCATTATCTACCACTCAGTTCAACTGCTCTGGAAAAAAAAAAGTATTTTCCATGAGCCAGAAAAACAAGGGCTCCTGGATCATTGGGTTGGAAGATACAATTTAAAACCATGGGCCTGAAAACAGGATAGTAACATTCAGTAAAGTGTATCAGCTGTAACTAGCTAATCGGCCTTTTCAAGGCACGAATGTGTATGTGGCATGGAGTTCAATCAGGAAGTGAAAACATTTCTCCACTGGCTTTTATTGGAAAGAGAACTCCTGACTGGCGAACAGGGTGCTGGAAAAAATGCCAAGGAACAGAACCGGCGGGAAAGTCAGAATCCACCAAGCAAAACAGGCTCCTTGCAAATTAATCTTAAGTTTATAGTTCCCCCATCCAGCAGAGAGTTTTTCTTTGACTAGTTACACGTTCGGAATTGTTTCTCGCAATTTATCCTGAGCTGCTTTCTACTTGACTTCAGGGTCTAATTAAAGCTTGGAGGCTACATGGGGGGAGAACACATGTCCCTCTCTGTACTAAGGAAGTCATTCTTCATACTGACTGGTTTCCGGAAGGGGAGAAGTATCTGTCTCCGCATAACGTGGAAAAAGTTGGCTGGGGTGGAGCAGTTTACGACGATCCAATTGCAGTCGTACAGCTGGCGCACGTCAAAGTCGTCTAGTTTCTGTAGGAAAACAATGACGGAGTTCAGAAAGGGAGAAGAATTGCACGCACGGCCGAAGCCGTCAAAGAACCTGAAAATCAACTGTGAAACACATCTCTGGGACTAGGGAAGGGGGTTCCCCTTAAAAGGTGAGAGGAAGCAAGAGCCGGCTGAAGCAGGGTGGAGTGAGACCCGAATTATGACAGGCCAGACCCTTTGAGGAGGATTTTTTTTTTCTTCGTAAGCACGACGTTTTACAATTCTTGTGTTGCCCATCTCAAACTACGAGCAATCCGGGACACTTTGAAAGAGGTTGGATCAGGGCCTCTCTAGTATTGCTATCTCAGATTGCCTGCCCTGAAGTCAAGCACTGAGGTGATGACGGAGCGTGCAGGGACACATGGACGAGCCATTCGGTTTACAACAAGCTGATACTGGGCGGATCTTCCCAGAAATTCTTCTTGGCCTTCTTAGAACTGTGGCCAAGAGACAGGTGGACAGAACAAAAGGGTGGCCAACGTGGACTCACAGTCAACTCACCGGGAAGACATCTGGATCGTCGTTGCACATTTGTAAGAATCGTTCTGGTCGAGCAGAAGAATGCTCAGGGCCCTGCAAACAGATATGGGGGACTTTCTTGAGTGATGGCTTTTCCTTGGCTAAACAGGCCATTGAGGCAAAACTGAGCATTTGGCAAAAGTGAACATTTCTTCGAGAAAGAGAGTTGCTATACTGTAGAACAAGGGTTAAAGTAAGTGGATAGGAAGCAGGGAGAATCATGTTCAAGTCCTCTCTTGATAATGGAATTAGGTGGGTGACTTTGGACCCGTTATTTCCCCTTAGCTTGCTCTACACTGCTGCAGGCAAATGAGGAATCAGCAAAGGTATGATACCTAGAGATACTCAGAGAAAAAGTAGATGTAAAAAATAATAATAAAGAAATAAAGCCAAATCCAAAACCCCAAATTCTAATATACACTAGTAAGCATTTTCCCAATGTTCCGTTAGAACATGATATTGGAGCAAAAGTTAATATTGCTTCTCATTTTCAACTTTGTTATACAGACACAACCTTTAATGCATTTGAATACCTCAACCTATGGAAGAATTTTCAATGCGGGGAAATGGTCGATATGGAGGATCTAATTTAACACAGTCTAAATATAGAAATTAAGTCTAAATCCACCTATAAGGCAACTAAAAGGAGACCTTTTAGAAAACAACACACAATGCTTTCCTTACCATGCCCTCCATGCCATGGGGAAGAAGAAGTACAATGCCATTCTGCCTCACCCACTTGGCCTGCCCAGAGCAGATGAACTGGTCGATTATACATTGAGCTGTATTGTGGAAGTCGCCAAACTGAGCTTCCCAAACCACCAAAGCATTGGGACTAGCCATAGCAAAGCCGAGCTCAAATCCTGCATTGATAGAAATTGAAAGCTTGTTTTTGGGGAGGAAGATTATCAGTGAGGGACAGATTTAAAAATCAACTGTTTACACGACTCCTTTAAGTTTTAGTAAGGAAAGGACATACCAAGGACTCCATATTCTGAGAGAGAACTATTGCAGACGGTATAAGGAGCTTGATTTGGCCACAGATGATTCATGGGAATACAGGTTCTCTTGTCAACATTCTGATCGTGCAAGATATGGTGCCGATGGCTGGAGAAAAACACGAGTGAAAATACTTACTCAAATTCCTAGCTGAAAAGTACCCCTCCAAACCATGGGCCTCATTTTATACCAGGGGTCTTCAAACTTAGCCCTTTTATGACTTGTGGACTTCAACTCCCAGAATTCCTCAGCCAGCGTGCCTGCTAGATACCTACATCAAATTTTGTTTCCTATATAGGAGGACATTTGCACCAGCTTGATTTGGTCCTGCTACAGGCCCCAGAAGAGAAATACAAAGGTACATCCCCTGGCCTAAGCTGGGATAATGCTATCTTGACATTTTGCATTTGCCCCCAAATATGATGGACTTTTACTGAAGTCCTGTATTGGTTAAAGAAAGACCACCCATGTACAGTCAACACAATTTACCTGAATGTTCCTCTTTCAACATCTTGTCCACTCAGGCGAATATGGATTCCTTCTTTAAGAAGAGAGCCAAATGCCATATACTCTGCTAAGGCCCAGTCTACAGTCCTATTGGCAACCATCTCTCCTCGTGTTTTTAGAATCCTGCTTAAACCTTTAGAGAAAAATAATAATCTTCAGTCTGCTTTATGGCAGCATTTCCCAAAATGTAGAGATGCATTTACAGATGCTCTGAAAATCTGTTCTTCACACACAGTGAAGAATATTGCATTGCAGATCACTTCTGTAACCGGAGTACCCTTCAGATGTATGTACTACAATTCCAGGATCCACAGCAGTAGCCATGCTGGCTGTGGAATTCTAAGACCTGAAATGCACATATCTGGAGGGTGCTCAGGTAAGGCTGCTATAAATCAAAGCACCAACATAAAATGTAGAAAAAGAGCAAAGACTAAAACTGAAAGGTTAAGCTCTGAAGCAGAATCTACTTTCATCTTAACTTGCTGACAGCTTGGATTGGCTATGAGGTAGGCCCAAATCTACTAGGATATATACAATACATGGAATCCTGCTAGATATCATTAAAACATGCAAAACAGAAGCAAAGTACTGATTGCTCCATGAATTCTGAACATCTATTTAAGAGAGGCTTCAAGGAAGCTTTGCAAAAGACCCCACCATGCAAGTAAGATGTTGCATCTTCTACAGAAATCATTAAAACGTAAAATTCAAGGGGAAAAAGATATAGAAAACCATACCCCCATGAATGGTAAAATTTTCAACAGGAACTGAGCTGGCCACTTTTCCTATATGGCCCAAATCTTCTTCAGTCAAGCCCGTGGAAGGACAAGTCATGCTCCGAGGTTGGCCATCCAGGGTGAAGAAACCTGAACATTTAAGAAGAGGACATAAAAAGAGGCAAGGAAGGCATTGACAGCTGATAAAACAGTTCCTTTAAAAAGATGTTCCTCACTGCCCAATTTCTTCTGAGAAGGTATTTGGCAAATAAACTCTGTCCAATTAAACTACTGGATCATCCTGCCAGAGCATCCAGGAGAAGAACAGAATTCTTCATCAAGTGCCTCTTAATTTAATGCAAGCACATTTTGTTTATTAACAATGCTGACTACCTCCTAGGATCCTTGTACAGAATTTTCAGAACTAGGAGTTCTAGGCAAGGATAACTCATCTTTGTGCCAGCAACTGCAAGTGCAATCTATTGGCCAAGAACTGTATTTTTTTTTAATCCATGGCCGTTAGCAAGCAGACAGTAACTTACCAGGCCACGGAGAGTCTAACCAATGCTTGATATGAAGGATTTTTTCATCCTTGGACCTTGCATGAGCCTCTTCACAGATTTTGTCATACTTGGAAATTTCCTCCTGGAATACAAAAGGAATGTAGAGGTGAGCCCAAGGACAAATATTACCAACACTTCAGTCTAAACGCTAAACAAATACCTTCTTAGAATTGTAACACATTTCTCAAGCAAAACTGGTAGTAGCAAATCACTGTAATTTATCCACTGGGCTGGGAGTATCAGGTTTTATTTTGTCTATAATAAAGTCAGAGCTTCTGCTGAGGCAAATGTGTCCCTATTTACGAAAAGTTGTTTTCAAAGCCAGTACAGTTGGTTCTCTGAAAGGGATAATTGTATAACAAGCCAGTTCATATATGCCATACATAATTGCATATATCAGATTAAACAAGTTTCAATAAGCTACACAGTAACAGAGAAATGTTATCAGTTGCCATAGGAAAATGAGAGATTATTTGACTAATCCCAGATGTGTTCTGAATGTTCCTGTATGGTGTCATGTATTATAATATTTATAAAATGCCAAAAGCCTCTGAAATTATGAAATGCTTGGTATCACAATGGGATGAGGAGTATCAAGATTAAGCATGGCTGATCTACAGAACGATTGTTAAGCCATAAATGAAAGTACCTCGTATTCTGGTTGATTTACTACTCCTTGTGAAATCAGGATCTCAGCATACTTCTGTAGCACAGCCTTCTGTTTTCGGATCTGCTTGTACATCAATGGCTGGGTGAACATTGGCTCGTCCATCTCATTGTGCCCATTTCGTCTGTAGCACACCTAGCATGTTTGAAAGGGAAAACAATCCTGTATGTTTATTCTTGACCTAAACAATTCATCTTCCCAAATTAAAGTTTTCAAGCTCAGTAATGAGAAGGAAATGCTTTATTGAGGACAAGCATGGGTGTAAAGTGATGGCAAATGAGCAGAAATAGAGAGTAAAATCTGGAAAATTTTACATTCTACATAATCTTCTCTTTCCATCATTCCACAAAGCTCTTAGAAAATGATCCTCAAAGGAGTGGTGGATATGGCTGAGTAGGGCAAGCTATTATTTATTGACATATAAATATTTATGCAAAGTTCCAGCTCTAAACTATCCTTGTTTTCAACGTGTCGATATACCATTTCACATTCTGATTTTTGCTTTTTAAACTTAATCACTTCCTCTTGAGGATCTAATGATCTGCATCCAGTCACAACTTTCTTAGCGTTCCTCTCAACCCATTAATTCTTCCACTATATATTTGTTCTGCAGCTCAGCCTTCATGAATTCTATGTGACTAACCCATTTTAGCATTATTTCTTTTTAACTGATGCATTCATTTAGAGATAATTTATTCTAGAGTCTATCTCTTCTGGTTTTGCCACATACATTTCTCAGGTCCTCCATTTCCATTCTATTCAACACATGTTCAATTTCTCTCGACCTGCCTCTTGACAGCCATCATTTCTATATAATAAAGTCCACAGAAGCCCGTACATATCTAACTATTTTTTCTGCTTTTAGGAAAATATTACCCACCATCTTTCTGCTACCATTTGCTCATGTTAAACTTTCTTCAGTCATCTCCCATCTTTAGCTAACATATTATCAAGGCACACAAATTCACCAGGCTATTATCACTTACACATCTCTATCAATCAAAGCATTCCTTAATCAATTAAAGAAGTTAAACAACAAAGGAACATTTATTATCATTTACTTATGAATTTTCAGCATGTATAGGGTACAAATGATAATTTACATTATGGTATAGAGTTTCCTGCTTGTATAAATGATATAGGGTTTCCTGCTTGAGCAAGAAGACCTCCAAAATCTCTTCCAATTCTGTTATTTTGTATACCATTTTTTTTTTTAAATTCCTTAAGTAACCTATTATACAGTCCCAACTAAATTTATCAGTACTACCTACCAGATCCACAACTACATCTTTGTGGAAAGTACTTCTCCATTCAGCTGCCACATTGCACACATACACCACAGCCTCTGGATCATCAGCATTGACATGGAAAATGGGTGCGTTAACCACACGAGCCACATCTGTTGGGTATGGGGAAGAACGGGCCATACGAGGATCGGTCGTGAATCCAATCTGAGATGACAACAGAAGCCATTTTTTAAAAATAACGATGAAGGTAATACAGACCTTATGAGGACTTAATACATCATTACTACCTCAAAATTCTTTAGGTGATAAATGGAAAAGTTAGTTAAATACTGAAGGAGTCAGAAAAGTGTTTCCAAACGACTTTTGTGGAATAGTCCTTCCCAAGGACGATGTGTATATATAAAAATACTAAGTTTGTAATATGAGGCATGGGTTTGAAAAGATAATTTCTCCAATCTTGGTTCTGCCAATCCCAAAGATGCTTTTTCAGGAGGCAAATGGACTTTCTTGTTTTTCTTTGAAGACATTTCGCTTCTCATCCAAGAAGCTTCTTCAGCTCCAACTGGATGGTGGGGAATGGAAGGATTTATATTCTTTGCAGACAGCTGGTCATTTGCATTCTTTTAGAGAGTCACTGAGGCCATTTGGATGTTTACCTGTGTTCTCAGGGTCACCTGAGTAGTGCAAATGTGTGTGGAGCCTTCTTGGCTGCAGGATGTTTTCTGCCCTGTGTCTCTTCACTGTTGAAGACAGGCGCAGGCTGTTGGGGAAGAGTCTGTGTTGTCTGCATCTTAAACTGAAGCGCAAATGGTTCCCGTAGTCTGCAAGAAATGTAAATCCTTCTACCCCCCACCATCCAGTCAGAGCTGAATCTTCTTGGATGAAAAGTGACACGTCTTTGAAGAAAAACAAAACAGTTGCCTCCTGAAAAAGCACTTTTGGGGCAGCCATGACCTGGATGACTGAGAGTCTCCATAGACACTGGTTCTGCCAAGAATAGTCAGAAGATTAAAAGAGCACTTAGGCTGAGTCATAGGAGTCAAGTGATGTATTCTATGAAAAGTCTCATTTTGCGGGCAATTCTAAAAAAAAAAAAAAAAGAGTTAACCATTCTTTCTGGAAAAGGAAAAAAAATATTAAAGTAGCCTTAATTACATTGGTGTGCATTGCAGAATAGCTAGATGTGACAAGCTTATTTCTAGCAGATACCCGGTTCATTCAGTTGCATTATCAGTTCTTCTGGTTATGTCCAAACCAGTCAAACGTTTTGAAAAGATAATAAGGTAAGATCAAGTACTTCTGAGCAATAATCTCTTTCCTAATAATATCCAGGATCCTTTTCTGTTTTAGTGAGTCAGTGCTATTCAAGCAGTATTCTATTTTTTATTTCATTTGTTGCTAGTTCTATGCTTGCAATCTCTTGAGACTAGCAATTTGGCATTCACACGTCCGTTTGGGCAACTTCATTCTGATTCAAACAGTCGTGAATGTCCTCAAATTCCTACAATCTACTCAGAGAGGCTGTAGCTTAAAAGAGAGAAGCCCAAGACCACTGCTTTCCTGCTCCAAAAGGCTCTTCATGTAGAAGAATAAATAGAACTTCAAGATAAAATCAAAGGGAAGTTTCTCCAGAATTACCATGCAAAGGTTATGTCCTATCCAAATAACAACAGGGCCTCACTAAGGAAAGACAAGAAAAGGAATAATAAGAATTTTGCAATACAAGACATAAGATCTTTATTTTATATCTAAGTTTCAGATAGGGGTGGCTGTTAAATGTATATACGGTAGTAGAGTCCCTATTCCATAAGTTCCATCTCCTCAAATTGCTCTGACAACAAACTAAATTGTTCCCTTCAAGAGGTTTTTATTAGCCATCAATATCATCAGATGCTCATGAAAGCAAGCGTAATGTACAGACCTATCCCTTAGTTTCATAATCATTGGTATTAAGTTTCCCTGTCAAATCAGAAAGCAAGAAATGTGCGTGGGACGTTCCAAATTCTTGGTTAACCATCAGGAAATCAATCTTCATCTGACAAGTTTAAAAACTGAGTTGGGATTGCTTCAGTTTTTATTCTCTATCAACTCTTCAATCACTTCAAAGTAAATAAACTTAACCAAAACACTACCTTTACAATTCAACTAAGAATGCAAACAATAAAACAGCTCCTTATCTGTTGCTTGTTCTTGGTAAAATTTAACTTAAGAGAATCTGGTATGGTAACAAAAGAATACATATTTTACCTGATTGTTCACCACCACGTGAACTGTCCCATATGTTGTATAGGAAGGCAGGTCACTCAAATGGAAAGTCTCGTAAACGATTCCCTGACCAGCAAAAGCAGCATCTCCATGCAAAAGGATTGACATCACCTTTTTAGAGCAGAACAAATTAAAGACGTGTTAATAACTTTGGACCATTAGGTGTCAAAGTGTCTGAAAAAGGAAGCACCCACAACATTGTCACTGTAAAAACAAAAAGGAAAAAGTATCTCTTCCCTTGGACACCCACATGTACAAAACAGGAAAGAAAAGCACAAAGGAGAAGCTGTCTTATATAGGCCAGCTTACTTTCTTCCCTTCAGTGTCCCCACAGTAAAATTGTTCTGCCTTTGTTTTGCCCTGAACAACAGGATCAGCAGCTTCCAAATGAGAAGGATTTGCAACCAGTGAAAGAGTGATGGTTCTGTCAGTGACACGGTTAATCCTTCGGTGATACATTCCTAAGTGGTACTTTACATCCCCTGAGCCCTGAAAAAAGAAAATATTATTAGGGGGATACATTTTTTTTCTGTGAAATCTAGCTGGATTAAGATGCACAGAATAACTGTTACTCAGTCTGTGAATGGCATAGTAATCATTGCCAGAAATTGCACATTTTCATTATTTTTGCACCCAGCTGTTTCTTTAAGTCATCTGAGATGACTTAAGCTCAAGCTGACATGAAAGCACTTTTATGCCAAGGGAACCTCATTCCTGGCATTCAAAAGCTATCTTGAAAACAACTGGAAAACTGAGAAACTAGAAAAATGTTACGACACATTGTTGAGATCACACCCAACGTGTTTCAGTGGCAAACACAGATGTTGCCATTGTCTTCAAGACTAAATGCAGTAGTTATTAACTAATATGAAGGAAGTTCCTGTCAAGTGAAATATATAATCCAAATAAAAATTGAACTCACTTCATCTGCAGCTTCTAGTTTAGAATCAAACTGGCAGAAAATTTGCTCCAACTCCTTTCTGATAACATTGGCAAGGACATTCAGACGCCCTCTACAAAACCAAAATCATATTTAGCGAGATGGTACATGGAATACATTCAGTCTGCTAAAGGAGAAATAATAATTTTGATTAACGAATGAAATCAGATACATTTGACTTAAACAAGGCTTCAATGACTATTTTGTATTCCCCTTTATGGCAACCCTATGTCACATCAACATTTGAAAAAAGTGGGCCTTTGGGACTGGAAAAAAAGAGCCAAATCATAAAAATGGGTCGCAGGAAGAATCCAACTCAGAAAGGGCAGGTTGAAATTTGGCATACACTCCCTTGATAGCCTCGCTCTCTACAACCAGTTTCCTCCAAGGACAACTTTACCTGTGAGGCATTCCCATGATAACATAATCCACTCCTTTCTCACTCGATTTGTCAATTATTGTCTTTAGCGCAGGGATCAGAACCTCACAGCCTTCCAAACCAAACCGTTTCTCAGAAGACCACTTTCTGTGCAGGAACTCCTCAAACCTGGAAAACAGAGATGCTGTCACATAATCTGTATGAGTCTCTGGGCTCTTCTACAGAGCCAGGCTAATGTGCATCCCTCCTGTCCTTAGGAGGAGAGCATGTGGATATAAATCTTATTGCTCTTATGGTCTATCTTACTGCATCTCAGGAGCGAGGCTGGGAAGTGCTGCTGCCCTTATAGAATGAAATGTGGAAACTTGGAGATGATGAATATTGGATTCTCTGCTGTCCCTCTTCCTGCCCCTGCCCCAAGTGTTACCTATCAGGCGAAAAACTAACCACCATTTGCTCTCCTGGGTGCATAGTGGTCTGGATGACTACTTCAACAAATCCTGCTATTGTCAGGTGCAAATAAACATGGTTTCTTATGAATAGCCAAAGCCATTAACTTTATTGTTTGCCACACATTACAAGAGTCTTACCAGCCTGTATGACTTACTCTGGAATGACCAGATAGGCTTTATGGATCTTAGAAGAAGTCAAGCTTATGGCACTTGTGGCTGCACAATGACTCCAAGCTAGGCTCTCGCTTGACCCCTCCTTCCAGCCTAGTTGGCAGTTTCCCATCAGTTACCCATCTTTCCTTGTTATATAAGAGCAGTTCTATATTGCCAATTGAAAGGTTAGCCACTGTTTCAAGAGTGATGGAAGCTGCAGTCTAAACATCTACCATCTACGGAGAACTTTTTCCATGAGATACAGGCTTTCACAAAAGCCACTACTGACACTTTGTGGGGTTATAAATATGGCTAGGATAGAACGTTTCCATCTCAATTTACTGAAGGTGTTATGTCCTTGACTGTGTCTATGAAATATGACACTAGGAAAGCTTAAAACTGAACATATTTCTTCTACTAGCTGTAACTGCAACCAATGGCAATTATGCAAGTTAATGAAAAGGAAATACCTGGTTGAACGCACTAGTCTGGCCAGCAGGGTGCGCTTCTCCTCACTGGAGAATTGCATGACACCAGGAGTTTCAAATTTCTGCCTTATCCACTGACATTGCTCAAGATCATTAATAAACATGAATTCTACTCCTATGTGCTGACAGTAAGCCATCTGTTAAAGAAAGGAAGGATGCAAGTTGGAGCAGAAGATTCAGCCATCTCCAAGCACAAATTAAGAACTTACTTTATACCAGCTAAGTCTTAATCTTATTCATAAATTTTCCTCTTTCTAAAAACCAAGTTAATAACACAAGCATACTGTGATGATTAAGTCAATCCAGAAAGTCTAAGCCAGTTAATGGAGTTTCAGATAAACTAGGATTTCAGTCCAAGTGCTGACAAATCAAATCCAACAAATAACGTGCTAGTTAGACATTACATTATTCCTGAAAAATGTAAACAATTGAGATTTGGCAACCGAAGACTGCACAGTTCTATTCAATTATAAAACAAAAAGTTGCATTTAGTTATAAAATGAAAAGTTAGTTATTTCTAAGCTCTTCAATTAACAGTGGACATCAGGGGACCATTAAGTGTAAAGATCAGTTGTAGGAGACAATTTTCCTAGGAAAATATTGTCAGCTATGGACTTACACAACGCAACATGCTGCTGCACAGAAATATTGATATGCTTTGGAGTATGTCTGGTTTACATGAGACACTGGTAAAAAGAAATGGTTTGAAATGTGCGGGAGCATGACTGTGGCATTTCTTTAAAAAGAAACGTGTTTCTTTCCCTTTAGTAATTTTTTTCTAGCAAAACATTGCCTGAAAAGAACTTGGCTGCTTTAAGGGGCTGACTTATTAAAGAAGCTGCATGTTAATGAGAATGGCCTTGTCTGTTTTCTTCAAGCTTATGAGGAAGCTGGAAAAAAAGTCATAGTTGCTTTAAAAAGGCAGAATATTTCCATGTTTTCCAAAGCACCTCTTTTTTTAATGATTTTCAAAACAAGCACAGTCCTGCTCCCCAGTGCACTCTATTATCTGAATAATTGCTAAAATCAAAGAAAGAAAAACCTAGGTGCAAAGTGCTTCTTAAAGTCAGGAATTTGAATGCAACTGAATTCACACTTCAGGTAACTGAAAATAGTAACGGTGCCAGGCAGGGGTGGAATAGAGGGATTACAAACAGAGAAACAGAGAACGTTTGGCAAGAAATGGCATTTAAATAACCTTACTGGAAATTATTTTTAGCCAGAGTCGTGACGCTGAGAACATGAGCAGGGAACAGAGAGAGCTACTCCCTTCATCGGAAAGTAGTGCTACTTAATAAAAGATAGAAATTAGAAGCTGGCTGATCAGGGGAGAGGAGAACAACTCCAAAACCCAGAATAAATGGGAAGCTGGACCAGGGAAAAAGCTCTGCTAATGAAATTTCATTTCTACATAAGGCAGTTACAACAGAGTCCTTATAGGAGTTACAATGACCTTGAGATTTATTTATTTATTTTTTGCTTTTCAATTCCATTTCCTCCTTTTCAGTTTTTTTTAGAGTCAGCAACAGCTTTTTTTTTTTTAGCAGAGTCATCCATCATTGTCAAAAGAAATTGTGTGACTGCCAGGAAACAAAGGAAGTGCTTCCTTTGGAAATGACCATTTTAAACTTTCATATGTGCACATTTTCCCCACAATGCATCCTTTTTTAGAATAGAGAACTCACTAGATCAGCATATGGGGAAGCCACATTATAGTTTTTAATTTTACAGATTTCTAAAATAGTGGCTGGGCTTGTACAACATAAGGGGTTTTGGCTATTTATATTTCAGAGTAATAGGAAAGCCAGTTAGTTCAGCCCATTATTGGTTCAGTGTTTAGGAATTTAGGCAATTGGGCTCATTTGGTAAACCATGGTTAATTACGCAGCAGAATGTTGTACAAACATGCTACCTAATTTGATAATGGATCTCAAGTAGCCTCACAATGTATTTCCCTAAAGTAGATTCATGGATTTAAGATTATACATGGCAGCGCTTGTTCTGAAACATTAACCATCAAGTTTCCATAAGCTAAAAGATTCTTTTGTTCATATCAAACCTTGTCTTTTCTGTGATGATGTCCACCCTACATAACTGGGGTCTTCAAAGTTGGCAACTTTAAGGCTTGTGGACTTCAACTCCCAGAATTCCTCAGCCAGTCAAGGCTGGCTGAGGAATTCTGGGAGTTGAAGTCCACAAGTCTTAAAGTTGCCAAGTTTGGAAGACCCGTTACAGAACAATCTTCCTCCTATATTATGTCAGGTTGCAGTGCTGGCATATTCTTTTGATTTTTTTTCTAGTCACTAGAAAATTCTTCTTCTTCTTCTTCTTCTTCTTCTTCTTCTTCTTCTTCTTCTTCTTCTTCTTCTTCTTCTTCTTCTTCTTCTTCTTCTTCTTCTTCTTCATCATCATCATTATTATGGTTCATCGCACAGTCAGCCAGATGTTCAGACTGGATTTGGCATTTTGTCTACCTATCGAGTCCTTACCCAGGACCTGGGATAGGCAGATGTGGATGTTTGATGGTATTACAGGCATCGTCGCAGGATGGAAGCAGTTCCTAGCAAGGCCGCCTTTTGCAATTGACTAATAGCGAATTTGTCAATGCCAATGGTGTTCAAGTGGTGCTCCAGTTGTTTTGGGATTGCACCCAAGGTGCCTATGACTATTGGTACTACCCTTGCTTGCTTTTGCCACAGTCTTTCTATTTCTATTTGTAGGTCTTTGTACTATTATTATTATTATTATTATTATTATTATTATTACTATATGATCCTTTATTATTTTACTGGATTGTTTACACCCACAGGATCCCCCAAATGCTTAGCTGGCTTTCTTACCTCCAAACGGCGGATGATTTCTCGAAGAGGAAGAGCGGACTCGTTTCCTCCAATGAAAGTCGTAGTTGGCAAGTGAAAGACTTTGTCGAGGTCGGATTCATCTAGGCCATAAAACCCTGCAGGATTTTCATAGGTAGCAGAAGGCAAAGGAGGATTGGGGAAGGTGTTCAGTTCAAGACAGTCGTGACACAGGAACCAGGTTTTTGGTAGGGACGGGGGGGGGGGACAAGAAAAGCAGCACAAAGTAAGCATGAAGGAGGTTTGTGTGAATAAAACACAAGCAGGAATTAAAAAACTGGACAGATAAAAGTGAGAACAAAAGAAGTATAAAAGTCACACAGTATATGAACGTAAGAAATATACTTGCCATGAAAATTGGTAATTAAACCCAGGGGGAAATGATTAACGAGAAATTTAGACCTCCACACATACATTTGTAGAACATAAGGGGTTACAAGTATAGCAAACACGTAGTGCCACCACATATTCAAAATTAAAATAAACTGAAGCAGGAAATGAAGAGTTAAAAGGACCAATTTCCCAGAACCAAAAGGATGAAAAGCTGCAGGATGATACAGAGTTCTGCAGAGGACTCTCCTGAATAGGTCACTACCAGGAACAAAGATTTTATACCAAGGTGGTCTCTGTATAAGCAAAACTCTTTCCACAAGCTCCACAAACATTTCGACTTCTGGACATCTTCAAGGCATTTCTCAACAATTCTCTTAAAGAGCTATTACCAAACATTCCTTCCCACATCTACTATATATGATTGTGTATCTAGACTATAAGAGGACTAACATTAGCATATTTTTGCATCAGCTGCTGGAATAATTAAAAATAGTTCTGCAACTGATGATCAGATAGCTTTGAAAGCTGGAAAGATGATAGAAATGGAAACTTTCAGAAGCGCCAGTTCTGTACTGCAGCCTAATGCAAAGAGGCAACTAGCATAGACAAGAACTAAGGAGAAACTTCCTGACAGTTAGAACAATTAACCAGTGGAACAGCCTGCCTCCAGAAGCGGTGAATGCTCCAACACTGGAAGTTTTTAAGAAGAGACTGGACAGCCATTTGTCCGAAATGGTATAGTGTTTCCTGCCTGAGCAGGGGGTTGGACTAGATGACCTCCAAGGTCCCTTCCAACTTTTTAAAATAATAATAATAATAATAATAATAATAATAATAATAATAATAATAATAATAATAATAATAATAATTATTATTATATCTGTTTTGAAATTATTCCTCACCTTTCACTTCAACTAAATGCTAAACCCAAAACTATTTGGGACAAATCTAACAGAATAACTAAGTTATCGCAAAATACAAAGGAACCTAGAAAAAAGGTTATATAAAAGGCCAAAATCATATAAAGGCCAAATTCCTGATGGGGGGGAAAGCAACAACCAGAAGAAGGCTAGCAAAGCTACAGGATTGCTGGGAGCGGCATAGGACTCCTGGGCAGCAAATTCCATACCTTGGTTGCTATATCAAGAAGACTCCCCCCCCCCCCCCGATTTCTACCAGCCATGCATCAGATGCAGAGGGATTCAATGGACCTCAATGCTTGGAGAAATATTGTGTAGGAGGCGATTCCATTCTTCTCACTTTTTAACAAGATCTCTTTGAAAGAGGAAAAATAAATTTTATGATCTTCTATCTATGGCTAACATGAAGAAAAGACCCCTCCATTCTTGTTTTGACATTGTTTGGCTACGATGTTTAGTCATTTATACACCTCAGCAGCCATCAATGATGCAGAATGATGGCAAAGAAAATATGAGACAAATGTGATAGGTATACTGTAGAGAAAGAATGGTTGGCTGGTTAATTCAGTATCTTAAGCAGAGAATGGCTTGTTTTTAAAATAGGACATTTTTGGTCCAAATCTTTATTCAGCTACTTAGGACTCCTGAATAAAATATGAGATAGACATCTACTGTAATAATCATATTGATAGATACTTGGCCTGAAAAAGCCAAAAGTCATTCTCATTCTTAGGCCAAAACACAATTATTTTTATTGTGCCTTGTGATTGGAAGAGTTATTATAGGCATCAAATTTGCAGAAGAGATAGAGAATTTTCTCAACACCGTACAGTGTTAGGCAGCAATTGCAAGAAGATACCCAGATAAACTGCTGAACTGCTTTTCAACATTGTTCTTTTTAATGATTGGATTAAAAAAATACACATTTTCAGCTAGAAGTTTGCAATTAAAGTGCTCAGCTATTCTGAAAAACAAAACAAACAAACAAACAAACAAAAAAAAAAACCCAGAGCAGGCTTACAAAAAGATGGCACTTATTTTTTTTCTTTTAGCAATGCAGATGCAGTTAATGAACATCCACATCCTAAATTTCACTATCCACAAAGAACTTTCTGCACAACGAAAATAAATACCATGCAACAAAATAACACAAAACTCAGCTAGTACATATACCTCAACCAATTTTATATGTGTTCTGATGAACATCCAGTTAACAAATTACATTTTAGCAGAGACCAATGTGTTAAAGCACAACAAAACTTTCTGAAGTATTCCAAAACAAGCAAACAGAAAGTAAATAAAGAGAAAAATAGCTACCACGCTGAACCCAATGAAAGGGAACATAACTGAGGAGCGTGACTGATGAAGCACTTCGATCACACACATCTCTCCACTGAACACTGAAAGCGATTCTGACGGGAAAAGACAAAAGACCAAAAACACTGCTGCAAAATGGGACAAGTTGTAATTTTACCTATACTGTACATGCCCAGAGTCAACTATTCAGAGAGTCCTAAACTCCAGAACGGTTAAACGCTCATTATTTGCATACCTCCTACTGTTAGCACTCTCAGCCGCTCCTTGAACACAGCAAGATCTGGGGAGGAAGGGAAAGGTCGGGTGCAGAAAGGAGAAGACAGAGAAACTGAGTCAAAGTTAGTCTCTTTTTAAATTCCAAAGAACTGAGAAAGTAGTTGCAAAAAAGAGAAAGTAAGCTTTTAAAAACAGTATCCGCAGATAACACAGTAAAAAAAAAAAAAGTCACCAAAGAAAAGGGGTTAGAATGGAAGATGACTGTATGCCAGGAGAAAATCTGAAGAATCTTTCAGAACCAGCCATATTGACCGCAGAGAAAATAAAATAAGCACAGCAGTTACACCAGAGAGATCATGGCATTTAAGTTACATGTTTGGGACTTCATTGCTTATGTAAATGGGGGAAAAATCCTAAACATTAAAGGACAAGTTTCTGGTCAAAAAATCACAAGTGAACGTGTGTTACAGAATCTTGTACCCATTCTACGTGAGATTGTTGTGATTTAAGATGTTATAAATCACTGTACTGGCAAGACAGAGGATAGCATAGGATTCACAACTTTACACTACCGTATCCTGTGCTACAGATTGAACTGAAAAGCAACAAAGGTTAGGAAAAGTTACAGTCTTGTTTATGTATCTGAATCTTCAGTCCACCCTTCTATGCAAGGACAATTCTAGTTTTCCTATTCTGATCTATAATTTGTTTATATAAGTGAGAAACACAACTGAGAACAAGTTTATATCTTTGACTCTGTAAATATATGGAAATATTACTCTTACAGATTGTCTCTGCACAAGAGGGAATGCAATTCTGTCAGACAAGATCTTCAACAATTACTTTATTGGATGTAGCTTGCAAATTTAATACATTGCTTTCTGCATCTCCTTGGGGGATCTTCATAATAACACAGTTGAAACTGTAGAATTCTTCCCCCCCACCAGATGTTTTAAATTCTGCAAATCTGTATTTAAAAAGTGCTGGTCAAATGAATAGATGAAAAGATTCAACAACTACCAGGGTTGTAACCTTTAATATCAGATAAAACGTATATCAGTTATTAGGATAAGCTTTTATTTTGCTCTTGGTGTTTCTTGAGCTTAGGATAAAGATCCTATTACATTTTTTAGAAAAGGATATGGTGATGCATAGCAGTTGCCTTTTGTCCAATGCATATCTCATCCTGCCACTGTCCTTTCACTACTATGCTGGAGATATGACATTTCTGTTCCAGAACGATTCAGTTAATTATGTGGTTTTTGAATAAGCATATATGGAACCCTAGAAGTTCTGGATGACTTGCAGTATTATGCATTCTGCACTGTCTAACAGAAGAAACCAAAAGTTTGAAGCCCTGAAACCTCTTTTAAATTAATATTACTGAGATTTTAAAAGATGGGGCAGTGAGGAGTTTCCTAAGAATAACTCTCCCAAAGGACGTATCGCGGGAATAGAATAATCTTTATAAAATGGTGAAAGGACCTTAAGTTATGATTCATCAAGATAAGTATACGCCACATTTGGAAGCTTAGTTTTTGTGGCATGGTCCCGAAGTCTTAAATTCTGCATTTAGAAGCAGAGAACTTCAGAGGCCTCTGGGTCTTCCTGCTTACTTGCCTATGTCTTCTTCACCTTCTCCCAAGTATCACTTCAACTCTCAATCCATTACTCATGGTAAGAGCAGGGATAATTACATTTAACCTTGTTGTAACAGGTTCTGATCTGTTTTGAAGTTACGGACTACTTTTTCCTCAATTTGGCATTCTTCAGACAGTTGGAATTTGATTCCTAGACTCCCTTGTACTGCCTGGAGAATTCCGCCTTGCGGAAATCCATATATCTCGAGGGTGTTCTGGCTAGACAATGCTCTTTCACATTAAAATGAAAATAAAGTGTGGAAAAGAGTCAAAGATGAAATACTTAACATAAATATGATTTTGTCTATTGCTTTCAGATAATGCAAAGTTAGCTTCATTTTAAAACTCTTGACCAAGATGCTAGTTTCAAAGAAGTTGCACATCTCTTCAATCAACAATATCAACTGCTTCAGAGGTAAGAGCAACCCTTATCTAAATCTTCCTGAACTACAGTATATATATCTATCAGCTACCTATTTACCTACCTACCTACCTACCTATTATGAATGCCATCCACCTTTCATACAATTTTCCTGTTCTGAATATGCACATATGGTTTCAAGCAAAGAATTTATCTTAATTTATAAATATGTGGTAGTGGAATGATGTAAAGGACAGAGAGAATGGCCTAGAACACAGGTGTCAACTCGCCACATCATGTCACGTGTTGCAACGTATCACAACTTTTTTTGCATTGTTGGAGCTGGGGTGGGCGCGGCCTCTGTATGGTTCCCAGGTTCACATGGAGATAAAGAGATTGATGAGAAACTATATTCAGGCTTGCAGGATCCTGTCATTATAGCTGATATAACAAAAGCAGTACTGATCAACATGGTGTTGCTTTCTTAGTCTGGCCTATCTTATAGGGCTGACAATAATTACTATGCGCGGAGCCTGTACTATTTATTTATATTTTATACAATATATTTTTCTATAGTACACTGGTAAAATAAATAAAATACAACCCTTATATTTCTTAAACCATCTCCTACATTAATGTTTAATTTTTATTCAGACAAAAATTCTAATAGTTTCTACATTTTACTAAAATATTCATATGACAATTTCAACCATTCAATAGATTTGACAGGACAAAGATAATTCACAGATGAAACCACTTCACACACACACACACACACACACACACACACACACACACACAGAGAGAGAGAGAGAGAGAGAGAGAGAGAGAGAGAGAGAGTGTTCAGAAGCCACCATCATTCCAGTGCACTCCTTTAGCCTAAAATAGTTATGTCTGCCTAAAGTGTATCTTAATATTTGTGAAATGTGAAAGGAATTCCACAGCACACACACACAAACACACATACACACTCAACACTGGCGATCTGTTAGGGCCTGGTACAACCTTCTGGGTTTAGGAGTCCAGCTTAATGTACACGAGGCAATAACTTCAGAGTGGAGATTTAGTAAAGTGAACTGCACTTAAGTGTGTTCTTAGATATTCACCAAAGTTATATTGCTGTTTTAGTTAATTTTATTTTTTAAAAACATTTATATACTAACCCATCTTTCAACCAACTCTGGCTTTCTTAAACGCTTTCCATTTCAATAACACACACACTGATACGAACATACACCATCTGATCGGTACACACCGTCAATTCACACCATTTATTTTACATGCACAAATACTCTAATCAAAGTTTAGTTTTGAAAGGGGTTAGTTGTCATTATTGTTACTCTATTCTAAGTTAGAAGCATGCTACTTAGAAGCATTGGCAGAGCCAGGTTGATTAACCTGTGGAAAGCACCAGCGATCAGTAGAGCTCAGCCACCACAACTGGCCCTATCCTGAAGGGAAAAATGGTGGCCAGAATTAACAAACCCCGGGAGCTCAACCGGAAAACCAAATTCCAAGTATTGCTCAGCAAGTGCACCCTCACCTGAGAACCACACATGCACCTCTCCAGCCAAGAATCTGTATCATTTCAGTCTTTTGATTAGAGGTGGGAATGCATTCCAAAGCTTCCTTATCATGATCACTGATGGAGTCATTAGTCAAAGTTGAAACTGTGTATTTGTGTTTTCTTAGCTATGCAGCTGGCCCTAAATCATGCACTGATCTGAAGGAATCCAGAGACTTGCCTCTTTCCTCACTCCCTCCTACAATAGCCATCAAGGACCGAGCTCTGAGAAGGCACCAGAGCGCCAAACAAGAGCTCTGTTGACCATCAAAATACTTTCAGTTTAAGGGATGCTTATGTGTCCGTCACTCTAATTACACTCGTTTTCTTGGAGTGGCAGGGTATTCACAGTTGCTAGTCACACTTTCTGATAGCTGGTCTCCAAATCACGAGGACTAGGTCAGGAGGAGACCACCGAGGTGTCTGGAACCAGGGGATGTTAATTATATGAAGTTACAATGGTAAGTGACTAGGGACAGATCAACTGCTGCCACTGTTCCTTTTTTTTTTTTTTTAAGTGATCATTAGGAAGGAAACTTAAGACCTTTCCCTTCAAATTTAGTGAAGCGATCTATCTAGAAGCTGTGAAAGTGAGAGAGGAGCCCAAGCAATGCGGCACTAGCTGCTTTTTTGGAGCCCTCACCCAGTTTGTCTGCGGAACTGATAATATCAGCTGGAATGGAAGAGTCCAGATCAGCATCCAAGATGCCCAAGGGGTCGAGCTGGGCTACATGATGCCCTCGGATCTATGAAATGGGCCAGAAATGAAAAAGATAGTGGAAACCAAAAAAAGAGGGAGATGGAGGGGAAAGAGGGGCGGAAAGGAAAGGAGTATAAAAGTTAAACGTTGTATTCAATTTAATTTGCAGAATAATTCTCACCAATGTTTGGCGAATCAGTTACTGTCGAATCATCAAAATTTACACAACTAATGCCGAGAGGATCAAGCTTGGCAATGTGGTGACCCCTGACCTAGAAACAACAACAAAATTAGTCATGAAGTTGGGTAACAACCACCCTTCCCGTTTGCAGGAGTTCTGCAAGTACTGAATTTATCCAAATCCATGCTGATGTATTTCAACAGAGTTAAGAATGTATGAAAAAGTAGCTTGCATTCAGATATTAAAGTATTTTTTTCCTTGAAGTAAAAAAGTGTGATGTATTTAGTAACATTCTCGTGACCGTACTTTAAAAATTTCCCTTCATTTGTTTAATTAAACTGGGGAAAAAAGATAAGAAAAAAACTAACAAAAGGATATATATATATATATATATATATATATGCACACATATATACAATTTTACATAAAAGTTTCATGAAATGGTAACTATATTTTATTAGAATAATTGACATATACTCGGTTGCTACAAGCAATGCATTTGTAAGTTGCAAATAGCATCAGGTCTTCAGACCGCTGAGTAATTGGGGCCATAAATTTATCTTTCCAAGCCCAATTCTCTTAGCAATATGAAAGACTTGGAAAATCAATTTCCTCTGTTCAGTGGCTCATTTCTATACATAGATACATAGTCCAAATGGATGTGAACATCTGAATACAGACAGACAGACAGACAGACAGACACACACACACACACACACACACACACACACACACAGACAGAGGAGAAATTGTTTCTAAAAGATGTTTATGGAACAGGGATCCATATTCCTGTTTCTTGACAGCAATGGAATGTCCCATCTAGGATTAAGAGAATATATCAAATGGTCTCAAGGGCAGAAAGACTTACCCAGAAAGATTATCACTACTCATATTATGTTCCATTTTTTTTGTTCCTGCCCATCATAACAAGTCATTAATTACACAGATTAAGTGCTTTATAAAGGTATTGCATAAAGCTGCGTATTGAAAAAACTGTTTCATCTGACTTTTTTTCTCTCTGAAGCACTGTAAGTGATAAGTCTCACAAGTTCAGGTCCATTCTTCTACTCAATGAATCTTTTTATGAATAGCATTACTATATAAAATAAAACACGTGTGTGTGAAGAAAGCAATTTACCATAGCAGCTATCTGATTTTAAAATATAAACAATATAACAACAGAAATCAGGTTCTTAAGCAGGCAATTTTCTGAAATATGAAGCTATTTTAAACATTTTCAATGAATGCTTTATGATCCATCTCAAGGAGAATCTAAAGTAGGAAAAATGTAGTAACAAAAAACACTGCTTTAATCAAGGGAGAAAAAATGTTTTGAAAAGATTTTGAATACAATAATATACAAATGATGTAACTTCAAATCTTGGTAATCTGTTCACTTTTTAAAAATATTGTAGGAATCTCATAAGATTTTAGCAATTTTATTTGCATAACTATATTAAAAATGACCTGAAATGAAGTAAGAAATGTATTTGCTGTCAATAAGACCATGGATTAGACCAATGATCATATATGAATGAAGACTAGATCCTGCCATATCGCATTTCTATAAGGATACAGAAGCCGTCCTTATAATTCTCTATTTTACAAAATACTCAAGCAATTCTGATTATTCTATGTACGGATGCTATTATCAGAGGTCAATACGATTCAGTTTCTAGGAGTGTGCTAATTTTGCTCTACTGTTTGTAAAATGAGACATACAACCAAGCATCAGTTATCTTGTTACAAACTCTCATGTTTTGGTTTGTGTCATCTGTTGTTCCTCTGTTCTGATTCAGTGATTGTTATAAAAAGTAAAGCTGATCAAAAAATGCTCCATTCTATTTAAGCAGCGAGTTTAAATCTTACAGCTGAAGCAATAATTAATTACCACATACAAAGAAAATAAACCATTTTTTAAACAAAAAAAAACAACAACCACACCCTTACCTGGTATGCCCTGATAAGTGATTGAACTGCAAGATGGTCTTCCACCAGCTTATCTACATTTGGCTGTGCTTGAACCAGTGACTGTGCGTGTGCCAGGGTTGATAGGCTGGTATTTAACGGAGGGGGGCTTTGGTAAGCAGTACCTGGAGCAGCTCCAGCATTGGCATTGCGAAAGAATATGTCCCATGACTAAAGTAAATAAAAATAAAAGTCCATTTGATAGGGAATTACTTTTTCAAACAACTTAATCTATTTTGACAGTCAAATTTCTTTAATTTCTGCACAGTAGTACATAATTAGACACAGTACTAGAGATAACCAAATGTAGTTAGGAGACTGAGTCTTACTGTTTCCCCTTAATTCATTTCATATAATAAGGCTTGTAGAACATATCAACGATAACCCTTATCTTCCGTGTCCTTTTTTTAATTAGCCCTACTAATGCACAGGTAGTCCTTGACTTACAATGATCTGTTTAGTGACTGTTTGATGTTACAACAGCATTGGAAAAAGTGATTTACAACTGTTCCTCCCACTCACAGCTACTGCAGCATCCCCACAGTCATCTGAGCAAAATTTGGGCTTAGTGTCCAAATTTTACAATGGTCGCAGTATCCTGCGGTCATACGATTGCCATTTGCGCCATGCCAGCCAGTTTCCAACAAGCAAAACCAAATGGTGGCAGTCAAGAGTCACTTAACTACTGCAGTTATTCCATTAATAACCATGAAAAAAGGTCATAAAATCAGTTCTGAGTTATTTAATAACCGCCTTGCAATAGAAATGCTGGTCCCAGTAGTCATTTTTGTAGAACAACAACAACAAAAGATATCTACAGTATCTAGAAAATAAACAGACAAAGATCAAAATCAGAAGTGTTACACCCCCTCCTGCTCTCTCTGTTTAGTCTAGTGGTTCTCAACCTGTGGGTCGGGACCCCATTTGGGGTCGAACGACCATTTCACGGGAGTCGCCAAACAACGCAGTCTGCCATTTTTTCTCCCTTTTCCTTAGCTGTGCTACTCCCTTTTATTCTATTGGCTTTTGAAAGCCAATAGAATAGACTCTCTTGAATAGAGTCTAATTCTATTGGCTTTCAAAAGCCAATAGGAATTGTCCAGGCTGTCTCTGCCCTGCTGAGCCCGCCAAAAGTCCCATTCTGCAAACGGTGCTGCACCAGTTGAGTGGTCCTCGACTTACGACCGGTTGAGTAGTCCTCAACTTACGACCGGTTGGGGGTCTCAGCATTAAAAAGGTTGAGAACCACTGGTTTAATCCCATTTGAAGGGCAGGAGTTTATAATAATACAGCAAAACAGTTCAATGCTTATCTACCTTTGTTGCACTGATCAAACTGTAAAATATAGTAATAATTGGCCGTTTCAATGAAGGCCAATGGAGCATAGCAACGAAAGAAAGATTCATAGGTTCCAGCAGGAACTTTAAAACGCCTGTATGATTATTAAGATTTTTTTCAGTCCTGCTTCTGACATATATATGAACACAAGTTAAATGAAAAAGCAGTGCTTAGGACCAGCATTAGGTTGTTGGAAATCAACAAATAACCAAACAGAAAGCACTTACCAAATGTTGTTAATTATATACATATAAGAAATAGATTTTCTGTTCTATGATTATTTGACTTTGCCCTGGTTAGTGATGGCAACAACTCATATACAGATTATTTTACTAATCTCACCTCTTTACATTAAGAGACACAGACACAATATTCTCCAATATACCATAGTTTATTCATATTCTCTCCCATTAAAAAAGTGACTAGATTCTCAAATGAAATTTAGGCAATCCAAAAGTTATTTTTGTTTCTCAGATTTAAATATTGCTGAATTCTGTTGAGCTTTTTTACCTCTGACTGCTACCTGGACATATCCCTATAAAATGAGCAAGAAATAAATACAGGAATCTGATAATCATATGCACTTTTGTTATAAAAGGTTCCTTAGATGTCAAAAGAGAAAAAGGTATCTCACAAACTCCTGCTAATTTCATGCTGCAGTGGTATCAGTCCCCATCGTCGCCTACTGACACTATTTTCAGCTTCATCTTTTTTATGCAAACCGTACAGCACCCAACTACTGTATACAAGATGAATTTTAGGACAAAATGAGGACATACTAACTTGGATCCTGAAAAAAAAAAAATACCAGACTCTGGCTACAAATTGTTAAATGTTTCATATTTGATTCACAAACAATACAACGATGGCAACAATCTGCAACTTTTTAAAGGAGCGCTTCCCAAACTTTTCTTTCATGACTAAAAACAATTTCAGATTCAGCAAACAGTTTCATTTTAGGATCTTTATGAAGAAGGCAAGAATGCAAAGCCCTATTTCATGCAAGTAGGTGCTTGAAAAGGGCAATAATTGCATTGTGGTCTCTGCAGATACCACAGGATATATACCTTGTGAAATGTTAACCAGTAGAACTCCAAATAGTCTTTTTTAAAAAAATAAATAAATAACATTTTGTGCTGACTGTTTTGACCTAAGCTTGGATCATCTTCTCTGCTAAACCACTAATGGGTTTGTCTGTTTTTACTCAGAGGAATACCTTTGGGTAAAACCACTTCTACCCAATGTTTACCTGGGTTTCGAAAGCTCTGGTTTAAAGCAACTATACCTTTTCTTGGGATGAAAGTTCTCTTCCAAATCATTTCCAAAGGGCTGCATAGCTTTGGACCCAATGGATACATTTCTTGACTATCAGTTTGGTATAGTCCAGGAGTAGGCAACCTTGGCTCTTTTATGACTCATGGACTTCAACTCCCAGAATTCCTGAGCCAGCTATTATTTTTTAATTAATACTCAGCTACTATAAACCATGTTTAAATTGCAAACATGTAGGCGCTTCAACTGTTGGTACCTAAAATAATGCAAGATATGGCACAATGAAATGCATAATGTTCAGCATCACAGATTTAAAAAACCCAAAACCTTTTTCTAAGCTTTGAATAACCTGATGCTGCTATTAGGTATTCAAAATTTGAGGGAAAATTAACTTGCTTATGAAACACTTAAAGAGGAAAAAATGTCCAAGCTTCAAGCACAGATGTAGTATTTTTTTTTCTACAAAGGAACATATTCAATTCTTTATTTCTCTTCAATAACTCAAGCAGTTCTAGATGGTTAAATGAGGTGATTGCTATGCTGGCTCAGGAATTCTGGGAGTTGAAGTCCAGGAGTCATAAAAGAGCCAAGATTGCCTACCCCTGGTACAGTGGTTAAGGTTTCAGGCTGGAAACCAGGAGCCTCTGAGTTCTAGTTCTGCCTTACGCAAGAAAGCTGGGAGGATCACTTTGGACCAGTCAAGCTCTCTCAGCCCAATTAATCTCCCAGCATTATTGTTGTGGGGAAAACAGGAGGAAGGAGTATTAGGTATGCTTGCCAAATTTATGAAAATTATACAGTGGGATTTAAAAAAAACCCTAATAAATAATTAGCCCATGCTGTGTCATGCATAAAAAGAATCTTTTCAAAATCCCAGACAAAACAGCTCTCAGTGCTAGTTCTTTCGATAAGGTTATCTCTTATATTGCTCTGCCAGATACAAAAGCAGTCAAAGATCAAATGGAGGATTCACAAGTCCTGATATAAAACTTTGACCTCTATTGCAATAAATTACTCAACTGGTCATCATAAAGTGTGACAACATACAATGAGAAACATTGGCTAGGGACAAAGAATACTGTTTCTTCATAGCCTCTCCAATATGGTTTCTATTTCATCAATACTTCGTTTAACAATTTTATTTAAAAGAGAAGCTTTAGGAAACAGATAAGATGCAGCAATATGAAAGCTTATAATTATTCTTACAGTACACTTCATAGAGTATTTTCTACTATTAGACTAGCAGCTATAAACAGGGCAAAGGAGAGAAGCACACAAAATGCTTAACTATATTATTTTTTAATTAATACTCAGCTACTATAAACCATGTTTAAATTGCAAACATGTAGGCGTTTCAACTATTGGTACCTAAAATAATGCAAGATATGGCACAATGAAATGCATAATGTTCAGCATCACAGATTTAAAAAAACCAAAACCTTTTTCTAAGCCTTGAATAACCTGATGCTGCTATTAGGTATTCAAAATTTGAGGGAAAATTAACTTGCTTATGAAACACTTAAAGAGGAAAAAATGTCCAAACTGCAAGCACAGATGTAGTATTTTTTTTTCTACAAAGGAACATATTCAATTCTTTATTTCTCTTCAATAACTCAAGCAGTTCTAGATGGTTAAATGAAGTGATTGTAGGAATACTTCTGATTCTAAACGCTACATGTGTGATCTCAGATATTGTGCATATTAATAAAGCAGAGGAAATGAAATCCATACAACACCTACAATATAACATATAATTCATAGTTCAGACAACTATTACACGATCACTGTTCTGACGTACATCTCAAGCCATTAAAACTACACAAGATTTTACTGTTAAGCTTGTGACTGCCTTAGTCCAACACAAAAGATTATCTTTTGCATTTGATCAACAGCACCATACTGGTTACCTCCATTCTCATTCTGTGGAGGGTAGCAGCATAGTGCAACTATGAATAGAAACTGAACGGAGAATAATAAATTGCCTCTATAGACATTTCCTCGCCTTCTGAAACAGATTAAACCTACAAAAACCGGCAGGTGCAGCTGGATTATAAAAATATTTAGGAATACTAAGTCACTTCTCTGGCCAAGCTCGTTTTTTTGCTTCTTCCTATAATATTCAGTGATGATAAACTCCAGCAATCTGCGGAACACCAAGTATAAAGCACTTTCAGGAATTAGCATTGGATCACATTTTATTGCTGGCAGTTTTAGCAAAGGAATGGTTAGTTAAACCAGGAGTCAAGTTACATGATTCCTCCCCATGTAGACATTACATTCTTCTTTTACTTAAGGGTTAGGGTGCAATCACACAGTTCAACTCAAAGATCAAAAGGATAGTAGGGAAGTTCTCTTCCAATGATAAAATAGGTCTTATTTCCTCAACCACTGACCTCCCCTTGATCTCTACAAACAATGTTTTTGAGATTAGAATACCTAGCCTCTACCTCAAAAGCAGAGATGTGCTGGGCTGGGGCAAGGCAACACCCCTCCCCCCCCATACCCAGCCAATCTTTTGCTAAGGACCCAAATATTCACACATAAACAATCAGAGCAATTCCTCTGCCATTCTAGTTTTCATTTTACCCAATTTTTTAAGGATAGGAAACAAAGCATCTGCTAAGTGTTGCAAAGAAAATGTGGGTTTTTAGTTAGGTCACCCAGAATGGGGCGAGCCTGTATTAAATCACTTAGATGGCAATGAAAACTGGCCAAGCTATCTGGAGAGTAGGAAGAACTTCCGTAAGTGAAAAAAAAAAAAAAAAAAAACAAGGGGCAGGATTTAGACCATCATTTCATTTGATTTGGAGAGCCTGTAAAAGATTTGAAGAGGAACATTACATGCCCAGAATGATGTAAGCAGCATCTTATGCAAAGGAAAAGAACAGTGAACGCTACGTGTTGTAACTCTCTGCCTATCCAAGTCTGAAATATTACAACCCCTTTGTGAGACTTGGTTCTATCAATTGCAGCAGTCGATTGGGATTCTGCCATGGGTTAAAGGCTTTTCCTAGTGTGGGAAGTCAGAGCCTCCCAGAGAAGGAAATATTAAAAGGGCAGGAAAATATATTTTTCTTCAAAAGGAGTTTTAAAAGCATTTTTTTAAAAAAGCAGAAACCTGCCCTCAAATCTCTGTCCCCAAGCAGTAGCCAGCCCTATACAAATGCAAATGTAAAACCATCAGAAAGCCAGAGAACTCAAGAAGACAAAGAGACTTAAAATCTGCATACCCCACCCAAACTTTAAGAGTCATTAGCCCCATCACCAGGGAAGCAGGATATGACTTTTGGGACATAACATACATACCATCAAGTATGTCAGAGAGGCACACCTAGGCTCAGGTCAGAATACGTGACACAGGAAATAGCCCCAAAGTTCATGCCACAGGAACAGGAAACTATTCCAAACAAAAAGCTAGAGAGGGTATTAAAAACCTACTGCCCATGGGCTCAGCCCTTCTCCCCTCTGCTCTTTCTTGCAAGGACCATCTTTCTGCTTCTTCAATAAATTGTAACCATCTTCCCAAAGCAGTCGCCATGTTGCTTATTTATTCCCGGCTTGGATGAACCAGGATGAAGACTTTGCTTCTGACACTAGGAACAAATTTCCATCTCCTTTCCTAAAGACTATTACGTTGAGCAAGGAAGAGGTGTAGAAAGGAAGGAAGGTGATTTTAATGAATGTATACAGGATCTGTTGCCTAAGCAAAAGGGGCTGAAGAATTTTTAAAGTTCAGAACAAGATAACATTTGGAAGCAGCTTAGGCAGAGGTCTCCTTAATTGGTTGAACTAAAAGGATGAGGTGGAACAGAATAATAATCAAGATTCTTTGCAAGATTCTTTTATTACAGCCAATCTCAATAAAAATAGCTTCAGCCTGCTTGTGGAATTGAATCCTGGTCTGGTTTTCCTAGTGGGACTGACAGGAAGAGACAATATTTTACACTAAAATTTTAGGGACTGTAATAAATGTCAATGTAAAAATGCAGAAGAACTAAAAAGTTAAAAGAAAAAAAATCAGATAGGAAGAATAATTACAGCAATGTGGAGATATAAAAGGAATACTAAGCTGAACAAAACTGAATATTCAAATATAACACAGAACAGGGAATATATTATGTATAGCACGGAAAAGGAGTAGGTGGAAATGTTTTCAAAGGAATAACAAGAGGATGGGAAGGGGCAAAATACAAAAAGTCTTTTATTGCAAAAGAGATATTGGATGAAATATTCAAAGGAAATTATACAGTAAATTGAGCTTAATTTCTGAAAAAAGCGAGAGGGAGCATTTAGAATGGAATTATAGAATTTGTTTTTTGCATTCCTCACTATTGATCATGCTCTTAAGGCAGTACTGAATCAATCATATTCAGTAATGTCTTGATGGCAATAGGTTTCCCAAATATGGGAAGGGGGACAAGAAGTTGCTCTGCTCTTTGGTTAGAACCCTAGTTAGTTGAGTGGGTACCATTATAAAGTGGCTGTTTTTAATAGTGGTTTGATTTTATGATTTCAAGTAATCTAGAAACTGTGATATAGGTAGCATAGAAATGCATGTATCAGATTTTATTTGCAAACCACTCAATTTTTAAAGAATTTCTCATTGTAGAGAAAATAGAGTCCCAAAGAGAAAATATTTGAATCTGCACTTTTATATTTAAATAGGAGAGTCCAAAAAGTAGAGAGAGAAACCAAGTTGTACTTTCAGAATATTTCCCTACCAAATAGAGACACCTTAATTTCTATAGCATTTTATGGGCTTATAAATGGTATATATTCTGAAAAAAGGCAGTACAAATTCCGCCAGCCTAATAAATAGCAGTATTGTTTTATGATTCGTCATTTTTCAGTGGCAGTTGGATCAGTATAAAAAGACATTTCAACAGGCCAAATATCAATCTCGTTAGGCAACTGATGTCTGAATTCTGCATCTGTCTTAAACTGTCTACGTGCTTCAGAGCAAAAGTTATTGTAGTGCTTAACTTTGAGCTATCTCTAACAAGAACTTATTCTATATTTCCTTTTTGCTTTGTCACTACCTTGGAAACTACATCCTGAATTAGCCAGTTTTACAACAGGTCAGCAGACCTAATTACTATGCCATAAATCTTTGACCTTCAAACAGGTTTTTATTTAGTCTTATCTCATCAGGCAGGGACTACTTTCTCTAAGAAAACTTTAGAGAACTGTATTGGTGTTGCAACTACCTTGAGCTGTGAACAGAAACTCAAAGTTCAAATATGTAACAATCACCAGTTAAATCCAATTGAGCATGATGGACTACATGTCCTGTTCCAGCCCAATTCTTTCTAATGGCCACATTTTGCAGTCCAATTCAAAAGATTTCTTCGACAAAGCAGTGACCAGTACCAATGAGTCCTCTATTATATAGTTTGCAAACAGAGCAACAGAAAAATAGGACCAGTTATGCATCTCAGAACATACAGTTTTATCCTCTGGTATGTCGTGACATATAGAAATAATGTTAGCACAAACGAAACAATCTTGGCCCTTGCAAACTTCTTGAATTTGGCTTGAAATAATAAAACAGTATAAAGAGCCATTACACAACAATACAAACAATTCAGAATATAAACATAGAAACAATACAAATGCTTTTCTCCAATCCACGATCCATCTCTATTACTTCAGAAGAAAAGATCCACAGATGCTTTGTGATTCCTCAGATAATAATCAAGAGAAATAGCTCTTTTTTTTTTTTTTTTGGTATCCTTGACGAAATCGGGAGCACAATTCTTTAGGGGAAGATGATCACAAACTTCACAAACTTGTTCCAATGTTGCCTTTCTCATCCGTGTTGTGCTGCATTGACCAGGTTTCTGTAGAACTGGAATGAATTCAAAGGTTCCTGCATCATCTTCAAATGGAGCTTCTGCCATGACCACCTGTACTTACCTGGAAACGTTTAGCCTTAAACCGTGAGTACCAAAGTGCAGTTTTATTCTAGGGAGGCTACTCCTTACCTTATGTACACTTTTTGGATTTTCCAACCAAGCATAGTACATTTCCTCCACATAATTTGAACTAGTCCCACTCAAAAATGGCTCAGCAGCAACAGGTGCACTGTAGCACCTGATCTGTTGAAACGTCCTTGGTGCTGCTGCTGGTTTGTTTTGAGAAATTGTCTTAACAGTCTGTGAGGCAGTCAATGGCCTTAGTTTACTAGCACAAGTCCTTAAGTGAAACATTTTTGTCCTGCAGCAACAGACAGGTTCCTGCCGGGAGAAAAATAAAAAGTGAGTCAGCGATTAAAAGAAAAGTACATAAGACTATTAATCAAGCTCCATTATTAGTTCATTATTAGTTCCAGAACTCTCATACTATAGTAGATGCACGAGATTTTATGAATGCTTTTTTGTAAACCTCTGCTAATGGGCATTATATAAATATTTAAAATACAGTATAGCAAACAGTTAAGTGCACTGAAGTCAACACAGAATATGGCAATTTATGTTTAGAGTCTTTCGCTATTCACACCAAGAATAAAAGAGATATGGTGGATCCAACTAAGAAATAGTTCAGTCTGTTTCCCTTACAGATATAGAAACCAAAGAACTGAAAAATATTAGGTAGTGAATTATATAGCTTGTGCTGTCTACTCTTACTGGCACAACTACTTTCCATCTATCCTATAATTTAGCTGATGATGCAAGCTCTTATCCCAAAAGCTTCCACTTGCAGAACTGAACAATATTTTCCACAGACAGCAGTCTCTGTCTACCACCTATTCACACTCGTCCAGGTTTTCCCCATGAACTCTCTATGAATCCATTCACTGTTTCAATGCTGCCATATGTTAAATAAATAATAACTGTTTCAGCGCTAACTTTCCCTTCGTACATTTTTTTGCACATCAACAAAGTCATAAGAATGTGACAGTTTGAACACCTGACTTTTCTCTAGTGCATTATTCTAAAAAGCAGTTGCTTGTAATTAGGTTTAAAATGATTTTCCTTAAGAATTCCTTTGTACTAGCCTCAAAATAAATTAATACTAAGAGATAGCTGTTTATAAGTCACACAATACAAGGCAGTTTGAAGAATTCCAAAATGCAACAATGTCCAAAAGAGTAATAATGTTGTCAGTTCTTCATCAAAAGTAGTAACAGTCTTAGGATTCCTTAAAGTAGCAGCCCCCAACCTTTTGGGCACCAGGGACCAGTTCCGTGGAGAGAGTTTTTTTCCGTGGACCGGAGGGGATGTGGTTTTGCGTGGTTCCTGCATCCTGTGGATGGGGCTTTGCTTGTTTGCATGGACTGGTTTCTGGCATGCTACAGACTGGTGCTGGTCCACGAATTAGGGGTTGGGAACCCCTGACTTAAAGGATAACTCAGTTTATTATTGCCTATATTTTAATGGCTCACAGTCCATTTCATCAGAGGAAATATCAGTTATTACGTATTATATTATATTATGCACTCACCTTTGTACTGATTATGCTAGAAGGGAGGGTCAGTAATCACAACATCCTGATTTCAGTTATGTGGATTCAATTACAAAATGATGCTTCAGAGCATTTGGGACTATGAACATAGTACCTGTTTAAAAAATATTTAGAACATCTGAACAGTTTTGAAGTTCATACACTATGCTGGGAAAAGTTGCAACTATTTTAAAGAGTTACAGACAGGTATTATGCTTGTGCTCCTGCATTCTCCAAAGAACACATTTTGAAACTGAATTCAAAACTCTGGTCACCACTAATAAATATACAACTGCCAAAAAATTACTTGTTTCTAGTTACTATATAGTATTTATTAGGCTTAAAATAGTTCATAGTTTGATAGATTTTCACTTGACTTTTAAAAGTTTAAAATGAAGTTCATTATAAAAATGAATATTTTGATTCTTTGAAACTTATTGCTTTAGCTAAATCAGTTATTTTAGAATCTATTCATTTCTTAAGCATCTACTTAACTCAATTGTTAAGTGTCTCACGAATAGTAAACTAATCAAGGCTACTATTTAAATTATTAAACTACAGAATGGTGCAACACTTTAGTTTTCTTTTAGATGCTGGTTTTATGTTTATTTAAAATATTTAATTTCCTTGGTGCCCATTGATAAGTATAGATAAATCCAAACAAATACAAGTTGCTTCCCAATCATTATCTTACTTCTTAGTAGGTAAGGTATTGTTCCAGGCTCATAATTATCATGGTTTAGAATCATATGCCTATTATCAGCAATCACATGGAAGCCTAATTGTACTGATTTTGCAACCCAAAACAAGCATGATTGTTCTGGAAATTAGAAAATGGAAGCCTTTATTTAAAGCAGTATTTCAAAAAGAAAAAGGAGAGTTCCTTGGCAAATTAAATTGTCAAATTAATTTACCCTGCCATTATCAATTAATGAGAGGCTAATTTATCTGAATGGATACAATTAATATGAAACACGACTGCTATATTTGCATCTGCTCTACTCTAATATCACTATTTTGCTCTATAATTTGTCTGAAGAAGATGAATCTAATTTCCTGGAGGAAATACATACAAACACAGTATAGGTAGCTGAAACCAATTGAGATGGAGGTCTTTAATAGATGCACAAATAATATACTCTTGGAGACCTTAATGTTTCTCTTACACATGTCATAGAAAGCTAGGTGCAGGGAACAAACTCTCATTCCACTAACTCAGTTGATAATTATAGGGTGACCCCTTTTCAAGGTCACTTAATAAAGAAAGGGAAAATTCTGCTGACTTCCTTCCCGTTCAGAATACTTGTGGCTGAATGGGAATTACCGACCTTTCTGTTGATATTATATACTACAGAGAATCCTAAGATACTTTTAATACACTTTATACAGTAATAGTATGACTTTTTAGTATTAAAATGTGTTTTGAAGACACAAACAATACTTCCTTAAGCCTCTTATTTCAAAGATATCTACTTAGTTATAATACACAAACACCAACATTCATTTTGCCCTGGTTTAAATATCATGAATAGTTAAAAAGACAGCACACTGCCTCTAAGTCTCTAAGTGATATTCAATATCTCATTATATTCAACTGATAAAATGAATAGGATACATCCCTGAATAATCTGAATTACTTTACTAACAAAACAGTAGACCATCATGTATTTGCCAGGTATACACAAAAGGAAGAATGCTGAAACTTGGAAAAACTGCCTCAACACAAAGCATACAATACAATTTACATAAGTCTATTTTTTTTTTGAAAACTACACAAAAAATATGTAGCTCAGTCATAAGGCTTGGTAGTTCCAGAACCAAGTTTTCATAAAAGGGCATTGCAAGATTCTTTACTACGGTATTACTGTGAAGAGATCACCGAACAACACGAGGACAAGCGAAAGTAGCTTTGAATATAAAACATGAAATACAATTTACAAGACTTCGTCTAACCTGATAAGAATCTATGGAGGTTTAATAACTAGGACCTTATACCCAGGAACAACAGGCACTTACAATTTACTGTACACAGACCTATATTTTAAGTGAGAGAAAATCTCAGTTGAGATCTCCTTCCTTGTAACTGCACAAGGAAGGGCATATCAACTGAACACAGTCACCTTGGAGAAGAATATACGGAGGTAGCTTTGTTTTTCCATGAGGTATAGTAACCACCCTGGCTATTTCTGTCATTTCTCCTTCTTGAAATTGAATCAAAAGTCCAGTGGTTACCCCCCCCTCTCTCTCTGTCTTCCTCCTGCAACACGTACTAAATAGTAAGTGCCTAAGTTCCTGAAAACATTAATAGTATATCCGCTATTGGCTCAGCAAGCAAAAATAATACATTTTCCTTAACTTATTTCTTGTGTTCTAGGGCAGTGATGGCAAACCTTTTAGAGACCGAGTGCCCAAATTGCAACCCAAAACCCACTTACGCATCGCGGGTGCCAGGTAGGTGTGGCTCATTGGGTGGGTGTGACTCATTGGGCGGGTACGGCTGTGGTGGTAACGGCAGACTGGGTGGGTCTAAAAAGTTCAATCAATCAATTCCAACTTTGCAAGATCTTTTTTTTCCCATGAGAAGTTGAAATTGATTGACTGAACCTTTTTTTTTTGCACACGGCAGTGGAGGCCTAAAGCAAAAAGGTTTTATAAAACCCAGCTGAAGACCTAGGACTGGGGCGATGGTGTGCGTGCCCACAGAGAGGGCTCTACATGCCGCCTCTGGCACCTGTGCCATAGGTTCGCCACCACTGTTCTAGGGCCCCTTATGACACTTTGGCTGAATTCATGAAACACTGTAAAACTATCTTTATGAAACACAATTGCTATTTTTCACACAACAGGTGAAGACAATGGCTAAATTCCCACAGGAGGCTGAAGTACAGGCTCCATCAACCTAATTTTAGTTTAACACAACGTGTTATGCACAAGATGATAAATAGTATATGGTACAGTGGTTAAGTTCCAACATGAATGGAGGAGACTCAATTTATAGTCATGTGATGTGCCTTCGAATCAATGTTGACACCTGGTGACTGGATTAGATTGAATAAATCCCTGCAGTTTTTTTGGCAAGGATTTTCAGAAGACGTTACCATTGCCTTCCTAGAACTGAAAGAAAATGGCTGGCCCAAGGTCACTCACAATTTCCCTCTCTGGTCTGGTGCCTTTACCATTACACCAAAGTAATTCTCTTATATATATGTAATATTTGGTAATATATGGCTAGGCCCTAAATGACTTATTTTGTTTAAAGAATTCACCAATTCTTGTTAACCTGGTCAACATGCTGCTCTTCACATTTAAAAGTTTGAGACCCAAACATGTATGGGGTATCTCCTCTAATTGTTTGCTTAAAAGAGCTTTTAAAAAGCTCTTCAAAACTGAAACTAGTTAAAGAGAAAAGATTCTCTCCCTGCATATGATGTTACTCACTATTCTTCACAGGAAGTTAAATGTACTGCCAACTTGACTGGTTTTTAGGTGGCAAGCAAAACTTATTTTTTTTTTAAAAAAAACTATATTATTTCATTGCTACTGTGTCCCAAATGTCTTCATCTTATATGCTTTAATCTTACTTGAACTTTTCTCCCTTCACTTGTCTGGTAAATATGAGCATTAAAAATAAGTAGAAAGAGGGACAGAGCAATATATCCAGTGTCTTTAGGAGAAGGTCAAATGTTTATTTTACAATATTTCAGACTTATCCCAACCTAATAGGCTTTGATATGTGGGTTTGATTCGCCTAGACACAATTTATTGAGTAAATCACAACTTACTGGAACCCCACAACATCCTAAATCAAAGACCAAGACTGACAATCCATAACAGTTCATATCAAGGACTAGAGCCAAGGGTAGGCAACTTCGGGTAGGCAGCATAGCTGACTCAGGAATTCTGGGAGTTGAAGTCCATGAGTCATAAAAGAGCCGAGGTTGCTTACCCCTAACCACAAACATGGCTCATACAGTTTGTGCTTAAATGTGCATAGGACCACCCAGATTTATACTGCATATAAAGCAGCAAAGTATTAAACAAGACTTTCCTGTAGCTCAAGTGCTTCTCACACCTGGCAACTTTACTTAAGTGTTGGACTTAAGTGTTCCCCAGTTAAAGCTGGGGAATTGTGGGAGTTGAAGTCTACACACCCCTCTTTAAAAGTTGGCCAAGTTTGAGAACCACCGTTTTGAAAGTCTTTGCCACACATTTTGCAGCCGGCACAAGAACTACTAAGTGTGTAGAATAAAGCTTTCCTATCAAAAGTCACCGTCAGATCTTGGCCACAGTGTAGTGTGTAAAGTTTTTTTTTTCCTCTATCAAAAGTCACTTTCAGTATTGCTGTTTCATCAAACTGGGACTTCAAACAGGTCTAATTACTAGCTTGGCTGCTTCCTTCCCCCCCCCCCCACCCTGACTTTCATTCATAAAAAGGGGAACAGGACAAGGGGGCCTTCTCGGCTCCCTTCGCGCTCCATTTCGTTCCTAAGCGAGTCCTCCGCCCAGAAACTGGCCCACCCGAGAGGCCCCGAGGAAAGGAGACCGGCCCGGTGGTGGCAAAGGCGGAAGAAGCCGCGTCAGCCAACCGGCCGGCCGGCATTGCTCCCAAATAGAAGGCGGGGGGGGAGAGGACGGCGGAGCGGCGCATGCGCAGGGAAGTCGAGAAGGCGCGCGGGGTCTGACTGACTGCCCGCTCGCCCACCCATCCGCCGTTCCATCCCGAGCGGCGTCGCTTCAAGGACTCTCCGGCCTGGACGACCGTCCCGGCCTCCGGGAAGGGCGGCGTCGGCGGTCACCGCCCCGATAGTTTCTCCGCGCCCGTGGCTTTTGGGGCCCCCGCTTAGCGCCTCAGCCCCCAGCGCCCTCTTCCCCCCCCTCACGGCCCGTTACCTGCCAGCGCCTCTTCGGTGTTCTCCGCGGCCCCCCGCGCGCTCGGCTTGACAGCGCCAACAGCTGGCCCCGCCTCTGCCGCTCGCTACGTCATCACGCACGAACGCACGCAGGCCGGCCCTAGAGTTAGAAAGGGAGAGACGGAGGGCGGGGCCTCCTCGCCTGATCCTGCAAGGGGAGGGGAGGGGGCTCGGAAGGGAGACTACGGGGAGATCCCAGTATGGGAGGCTCGGCCGGAAGTCGGAAGAAAGTTCTCGATGGCTGCGCTGTGGCTGAGAAATGTTAAAGGGCGTCTCCGTGAAGGCACCCGGAGCTGAGATCAACTGGAAGGTTTTCGGAAAAGGGAAATCGGAACCGGTTAGAAGCTGGATGGGACACCAAGAGGAAATTCCAATAAGTGATGGTCGAGTTTAATGGAGTTATCAGCTTTTGCGAGCCGTAGCTCATTTCTGTACATCAGGTAAAGTCAACTACTGCTCATGAAAACAGGCTTTTCAATAAAATTGGTGAGCTGGGAAAGGTGCTGGCAGACTTCTGATTTTTTTTTTTTTTTGCAGAGATGTGGTAAGCTATTCAATGCTCTCCTACAATATATGGACGAGAGATCTTATTTGTGAGAGCCTGTATTGTTAGAATTATATTCCATAATGTTAAGTATTAAACATTACGTCCAGAAAATGCAAAATGTTTACAGAACATTTCTCTCTCTCTCTCTCTCTCTCGTTTGGTGATTTGCTTATCTCGCACAAAAGCATTCTGGATTTCTCCCTGCATTCCGTAAAGAGTTTCCCCTTCTTTCCAACTTTGAAAACGGAGCGAAATGAATGAAGAAGTTCTCTCTTTATGTGCTTTTTGTTTATCTCTACGGAGCAAACCTACTTCCGACTGATCACGTGGAGGAAAATACACGCCCTTGCAGTTTCCAGCTTTGCTAAATGCCACAGCTGTAGAGGCGGAGGCAGTTTGAAAGGACGAATCTTTCCCCCCAATTTACAGAGGAAAAGCATGCATGTTTATGTTGACTTACCCAGGAAGTTCCGCTACGCGTCAGTGAGCTTACTCCTCTGAAAATATATCCCTGGCAGGTTTTACCCCGCTTCCTCACTCAACGAGCATTCTATGATCCCAACAAGGTCCCTTCGAGGTAGGCCAGGTGAAACACTGGCGACCCGAAGACTCCCCAGTAGAAAGAACATCGCCATGAAAAGTGGAGAGACGTTTGCGTATATTGTGCGTCTCTTAAATTTCTCTCGCAGGGACAAATGATGGCTAAGAGTTTAAACCTGAAGTAGAATATATAGATCTCCCCAAAGCGGGGGACGTTTGAGTAAGGGAGCTGGGTGCTCTCATGAAAGGAGAGAAGCAACCTAGAACTAAGGAGAAACTTCCTGACAGTGAGAACAATTAATCAGTGGAACAGCCTGCCTCCAGAAGCAGTAAATGCTCCAACACTGGAAGTTTTTAAGAAGAGACCGGACAGCCATTTGTCAGAAATGGTGTAAGGTTTCCTGCCTGAGCAGGGGGTTGGACTAGATGACCTCCAAGGTCCCTTCCAACTTTACTACTATTACTATTACTAATCCAGGGGTTTATAGTGGACGATGGGGGAAGGGGGGGTCTCAAATCCAGAAGAGCTGCATTTCCAACCATGGCAATCCCCAGCCTATGATTGGGAATTCTGGAATCCGACTGGGAAAGACTGAGACGCGGCATATACTGTACATTACAGCAGAGCGCGTGTGTTTACAGTACGGCGCAAGAGATGGGGCTTCTACTTAACCTGGTAACTGAATTAACCCGAGTTCACACCGCACCTTTAACCGGGTGATTGAAAAACCTAGCGGGCTGCGCGCACCCGTTGAAGTGCTTCAGTAGTTCCAGTCTTGATTCTTTGGGGCCGGGGGGCGGGGAGGAGGTTGGTGGTGCGGCGTGCAATAATGGGGAGCTCTCATGCCCGCCAGGGAGGACTTGATGGCTTATCGTTTCGTGCAAACGCAAAAAAAAGCGGTTCAGTGCAGCCTTTGGATTCGACCCAACGCAGCCAGCCGTGATCTCGGTTTACCCCACACCCCAGGGGTAGGCAACCTCGGCTCTTTTATGACTCATGGACTTCAACTCCCAGAATTCCCGAGTCAGCATAGCTGACTCGGGAATTCTGGGAATTGAAGTCCATGAGTCATAAAAGAGCAGAGGTTGCCCATCCTTGCCACACGCTGAATCACAAAGCAACCGGGCTGGCCCCGCAGTTGGCGAGGGCGGGCGACGCCCCAGAAGCTACAAACCAACCAGGCCAAACTTTTAAGTTCTGCTGACTTCGGAGAAGAAGCCCGGAGCGCCGGCGCCCCCTTCGGCCAGTTCGCGGGGCTGGACGCTTCCTCGCCTGCCTTGCCCGCGGCGGTGGCGATTGCCACTCGGGGAAGACCTTGCCTAGCGGGCTCGTTCGGTTCCGGGATAGGAAACGCCCGTCTGCTCCTTTGGCGAGGCCTCGCCCGGCCTTGTTGGCTCCGAGGCGGCGCTCCAGGGTAGGCTGGCCCGCTTCCACCATCGCCGAGCGAGCGAGCGAGCCGCTTTCCCGTCTTCGCCGGGGCTGAGCGCGGCCGAACTTTGCTCAGCGTCTTGAGCCAGCGGGGGCGCGGATTTTATTTGACTTTTCAAGAAGAAGAAAGGACGAGGGAAAATGTACGGCTCGTGTATACGGATATTCTTAAGAGAGATCGCTTATGCAAATATATGTATCGCGTGCAGTTGCGGTTAATTTATTAAATCTTACCAGAAGGGGAAAAAAAAGATTAAAGGCACTCCGTGCCGTCAAAAATTCTCTGAATAAACTTCCTCCTGGTGATCATAGGTGTGTTCCAATATAGAAAGGAAATTCTTGAGGCCTTTTTAGGCAGTTGAAGGAGAAACTGATCTGATGATGTTACTTACTCGTTTGGGTACTGAAATGTCGGCAAGAAAATAATATCGCTCAGAGAGCACCAAGGACCCCACAGTCCTCCTCCTCTCAAACCCCACTCCCTTCTAGCACCTATATGCTATTACCTAGTTGGGTAATGAAATGCCTGCAACTAAGCTCAGAGAGCACCAAGGACCCCACAGTCTTCTTCTTCCTCCTCCTCCTTGCAAACCCCACTCCCGTCTAGCACCTATGATGTTACCTAGTTGGGTAATGAAAGGTCTGCAAGAAAATAATCTAACTCAGAGAGCACCAAGGACCCCACAGTCTTCTTCCTCCTCCTCCTCCTCCTTGCAAACCCCACTCCCATCTAGCACTGATGATGATACTTAGTTGGGTAATGAAATGTCTGCAAGAAAACAAGGAACACCAGAGAGCACCAAGGACCCTATAATCTTCCTCCTCCTCCTTGCAAACCCCATTCTCTTCTAGCACCTATGATGTTACCTAGTTGGATAATGAAATGTCTGCAAGAAAGCAACCAAGCTCAGAGAGCACCAAGGACCCCACAGTTCAACTCTGAACTATACATACTCTTCTCCATTTTTTTCCCTTGCTTGTGGCTAGCATATTGACTAGACCAGTGGTTCTCAACCTGTGGGTCGGGACCCCATTTGGGGTCGAACAACCATTTCACGGGGGTCGCCAAACCACACTGTCCGCCATTTTTTTTCCCTTTTCCCTAGCTGTCCTACTCCCTCTTATTAGTTGCCACACCCACTTGGGGGTCACCACAACATGGGGAACTGTATTATGGGGTCACGGCATTAGAAAGTTTGAGAACCACTGGACTAGACAAAACTCACTGATTTATTCAAAGGAACCCTGATTAAAAAAAGCCATAGTTTATGTAGGGCCAGCAGACCTGGGCTTAAAAATCTGGGTGACCTGTTCGTGGCATCAGAGCCACTTTTGCTAACTTGAGTTTTGCAACCCACATCATGTAGTCTTATGTATTTGTTACAATCTCTTGAAAAGAGTGAATCAAAGTGAAAATAAAAGCAGTCTTGTAAATGTCTTTTTTTTAATTTTCACTTTGATTCATGAGGGGGAGCCAGAGGACAATCTGTTCACACAAGTCACAAGGACTCAACTTTTCCAAATAGTTTGAGGAAGACTATTTCTTCATAATATGAAAACTAAGAGAGGTTTTTCTTGGCATCAGGATTTGTAATTTTATTTCAGACTAATTCCTGGCTTACCCCTAAGTCTGCCTGGGTCAGAAATAAGAAGATGGTTCGTATGCTTGGTTCTGGGACCTTATCGTGGTTTCTTTCCATAAATTTCCAGTGCATAGGGGAAGGCAAGATTCTTTGAACCCTATTTTTAAGGTTCTAAGGTAGCTTTCTGAAACCTGATACCATCTGAATGTCTGTTGGACAAGTTGTTTGGAAACCAAGGCTCAACCCATCTTGGTAGTGTAAGGTTTTACACTTTGCCTCACAATTGCCCCAGCATTACTCCAGAGGTTTCAGCAAGCAAACAACTTTTATTTTGATCAAATTGCCCGATCTTTATATAATTTATTTAATAAATAAATTAGGATGCTGTAAAGGTTACTTAACCTGTAGTTTGCGATTAATTGAAGATCAGGATCAACTTTAGATTCTAGTTGTTGAGGTATTGCTCCTCACAAAGTCTTTTAGGGATGGCACTACTTTAAATGTTGACTGAACCACATATAGGAATTTGGACTTGACAATACAGAAACCTAAATTGCTGTGATCTGTATCGTGGAAGTCAGATTCCTTGCAAATGAGTTGTCAGATTTTTAGCAATAAAGTCTCACAATAGCAGAAGAAGTTCAGGGTGTGATGTACAGCAAAGCCTGATCAATAAAATGAGCCTCTCTAATATCAGAGTAGTTACAGGAATAATATGGAACTGGTGTTTTCTTTCACTTGATTCTAGGAAGTGGGAATATTGGGAATAATAATGCTGGGCTGATCAAAATAAAGGTGGAATTAAAAAAAAATCTAACAAACAAAAGCTACGGTAATTCAGACAACCACTTTTTAAAAAAGAAAATTTCCCCGCTACTCTTGATCACCACGTGCTAGTTATAGCTTTTCAGCATGGAAGAATCTTACAAAGCCTGTGAAAAATCACTCCATACAACAGGCCAAGTTAGCTTTCTCTCCTTATGAAAGAGATTACCCAAAGCCATGTTAAGTTAAACATAAAGGTTTGCAGAAACAACACTGAGCTTCTTGTTTTAGGGGGAAGGAACTTCCTGCTACGTTTATACTATGCCTATCCCTGAAGTTGTAACTTATTAATGAAGTTTAACTACTGGGAAGCTGTTAAAAACCTCACGCAAAATCAAGGAAAAACCCAAAGTGAAAGAAAGCACAGAGGGGAACAGGACTCATTCGATCAGCTCAGGTACTAATTTCTTTCGTTCCTATTATTATCTTTCTGTCTTTTCTTCCTTTTTTTAATGATCAGATCTCTCTCTTCACTTATTATTAATTTTTAGCTCCCATTTTCTTTCCTAGCATCTTTTTTCTTTTGATGTTCAGATCTCTCTCTTCCATTTGTGCAATCATTTGGGTTGTGAGACAGAGAATCAGAATCTCCAAACTCTTAATTTTTCCCAGTCTAAATTATCTCTAAATAGGAAATACGGAGGGTTTAAATTAGATGGAAGGTCTGAGAGAGGATTCAGCACCCTGTCCTGTGGAGCAAATATAGTAATAGTAATAGTAGTAAAGTTGGAAGGGACCTTGGAGGTCATCAAGTACAAGCCCCTGCTCAGGCAGGAAACCCTACACCATTTCGGACAAATGGCTGTCCAGTCTCTTCTTAAAAACTTCCAGTATTGGAGCATTTACCGCTTCTGGAGGCAGGTTGTTCCACTGATTAATTGTTCTTACTGTCAGGAAGTTTCTCCTTAGTTCTAGATTGCTTCTCTCCTTGATTAGTTTCCACTCCTTGCTTCTTGTCCTGCCTTCAGGTGCTTTGGAATATAGTTTGATTCCCTCTTCTTTATGGCAGCCCCTGAGATATTGGAATACTGCTATCATGTCCCCCCTTGTCCTTTTCGTTAAACTAGACATATCTCAGGCCAGATTAAAGGGATGCTATGTGTGTGCTTTTGGATCAATTTTGACTCCTGGTAACTCTTGGATTAAGCCCTTGGAGTTTTCTTGGCAAGATTTCGGAAGTGGTCTGCCACTGCCTTCTTCCTAAGGCTGTGAGAGAGAGGACCTGGTCACCAAATTAACTTCTGTGCCTAAACTGGAACTTGACCTCATGGCACCTGGTTTCTAATCCAGTGCCTTAACCGCTATACCAAACTGGGTCTCTTTAAAAGGATGCCATAGAATTGGGGGGGAAAAACAGAGCAGAAAGAGCTTTCTAAGTCTCCCTCCCTGATAGACACCACTTTCCAATCACTCAATCTCCAGCCCACCTTGATGCTGCTAAGCATCTCATGCAGGACAGCCAAGTTGAAAGAACTATATTTTGTAAAGTTTGGGAAAGATTGGAGAGGCAAATTGGAAACCTGGCTTGCCTTTTATCTATTCAGTTCCTTATTTGAACATTTCTTTGGGTTTTTATTCTGGAACCAATGTTATTGTGGGAATGGATTTCTTAATAAAGAATGGTTCCCCATTAGGAATGTACAACATCTTCATGGCATTACCCTTTTATCACTGAAGTTACAGCGACCTCATTTTATTTTATATTATAACGGTATATCTCGTATTTTGGCACTATGGTTGTTAGATATTAATGCCATAGGATCAGCTACTAGTGATAAATGATTAATGTGCCCAGCCCCCCTCCATTTCATCCTGTTGACTATATTTAAAGATATGTTAGGTAAGAGATAATAATTCTTCCTCAGTGCACCTCAATAAACTTCCCTGGTTTGCTCTAGCCCTTATAATCTAATTACTACACTACAAATATCTTATATAAATGAATAAGCAAGGCTCTCACCTGTGCAAGTGTCTGAAAAGAAAATTCATTCTATTCTCTAGTGATGAAGATGGGGCTTTTTGTAGCAGACTGGCATACCTCCGACCAGATTAGCTGCCTTTGAAAATAGTGCTTTGAAAACAGTTGCCAAATGCTTCGCCCAATAAATTTCTGTGTGTCTAAAAACCGCACAAGAAGAAGGAGAACTGCTTGGTTTCAGGGGTGGAAATATTGTGAACGAGAGCTGTTTCCGCTGCTGAGCCTTGTAAAAGATGATGAAATTGCTGACCCCACTCTCTTTTGACTTTAAAGCAGGAGAAATCACCCGAAGGTGTAAGGTTTTTAGGAAGTTTTGATAGAGTTTCAGAACTCTACTAAAAAAAAAAATGCCACTAAAGAATGACTTTTTCTAGGGTCCCACGCAAAACCATGCATAAACATAGGCCACCAAACATGCCTTTCTTTTAAAAGACACACTTGAAGGGAAAAAAATTCAAGGGGAGATTATGGAAAGGCTAACTTCTTGATTCTGAGTATTACAAGAAGTTCGGTTGCAAACCGGGCGAATGTTCCTCTTCACCCAGTTTTTAAAATGCCCGGGAAAAATGGCAGTTTTGTTTGATCTCTTAGTTTGGGGAATGTTTAAATGGATTTTTAAAAACAAAAACAATCAAGACTGGATTTACCCATTTTGTTTCTTATTTCAGTAAAAAGAAAAAAAAAAAAAGCCTCAAACGCCTGCCAGATTTTGAAGTTTGCTATTCAGTTTCAAGATGCACGGCTTCCATTGGCCAGTCTTGCTGCAGGCAATGTTGGGTTAGATTTGATTGGAGGGAAATTCCAGAATAGGACCATTGCTAGCTTGCCAAACCAAAGAAGACAAATCGACTCACGTTGTGCAACAGGGGAACTTAAGTTAGCAGAATCGTTTTCAAGCATGAATCCTGCTCTTGGAAATATGAAGGTCAAAAGTTCTTTAGATAGGCCAGGAAGTTAGTTTTACTGGTTTTACAATGACTATTTCAGTTGACTTTAGGCATGTCCACAAATCTAGACAGTAAGCTGCTTTCTTGTCCTGCCAGCTTTTTTTGAACTGGGCTCTTTTCTCTTTTTTTATCTTTCCTCTTTTCCCTCTTTTCTCTCCTTTCTCTCTTTTTCCTTTCCTTTCCTTTCCTTTCCTTTCCTTTCCTTTCCTTTCCTTTCCTTTCCTTTCCGTCTTTCCTTTCCCTTTCCCTTTTCCTTCTTTATCTAAAGCAGGGCTTTCCAACCTTTTCACCCATTGTACCACTTTTAGGATATGGCAGTGGTTCTCAACCTTTTTAATGCCGCGACTCCCAACCAGTCATAAGTCGAGGACTACTCAACTGGTGCAGCACCGTTTGCAGAATGGGACTTTTGGCGGGCTCAGCAGGGCAGAGACAGCCTGGACAATTCCTATTGGCTTTTGAAAGCCAATAGAATTAGACTCTATTCAAGAGAGTCTATTCTATTGGCTTTCAAAAGCCAATAGAATAAAAGCACAGCTAAAGGAAAAGGGGAAAAAAATGGTGGATTGCGTTGTTTGGCGACCCCCGTGAAATGGTCATTTGACCCCAAATGGGGTCCCATCCCACAGGTTGAGAACCACTAGGATATGGCAACATCCGAGTATCACCAGTCGCCTAGCAAGGTGTCAAAAACTTGATGACCCCTCCAAAAAAGGGGAAAAGTGTTAAAGTACAGGTAGTTCTCAACTTAAAACAGTTCACTTAGTGACTGTTCGAAGATACAATGGCACTGAAAAAAGTGCCCCCCAAGCCACAGCCGAGCAAGACACCTGCCTGCCCACCCAGTGGTGCCCTTCCTCCTGTCCGAGGTTTCCATTGTTGTGAGCATTTCTGTTGAGGATTGGCAGCAGGGGTGGGGTGGAGGGTGTTTGGTTTTTATTCCCCCGTCTGCTGGGTGGTTGCAGCAGGTTTTGGTCACTTCACATGATCCTGGGACACTGTGACGTCATAAATATGAATCGGTTGCCAAGCATCTGAATGTAAATCACAAGACACTGGAGATGCTGCAACATTCCAGCTGATTGGTGCTTCTTCTGGGCTCAGCAGAAGCACCAGGATCAGCGCCGAGCTCCGGCTGGAGCCTGACGCTGATCCTGGCACTTCCACTGAGCCCTGATAGCCCTGCAGCACCAGCCATCTCTTGCTCAGGCTTGTGTGGTGCTGCCACCAGTTCAGCTCATTCCCCTCCCCTACTACCACTTTTCTAGGATGGTCACGTACCACCTGCCAGGTGCCAATGTACCCATACCACTGGTTGAAAAGCCCACATTTGAACACTACTTGTCATTCAGCAAAAATGTTGCAAAACCATAGTAAAAAATACAAATCCAATCAATCCTATGAGAACAATAAAACAGTGTATTCCCTCCATTCTCTTGAGAAAACCCAGTCTTCTTGGCTCTGTTTTTTACGTTATCCATGCGCAGCAAAGAGCTTGATCTTTTGTCAGTTTTTGCTTAGAATGATTGTGGATTCTTAATTCTCTTCTTATCATGAATTGTGGTATATAATGCTAATCTCTTTCAACTGCTTCTTCCAGGATTGTAACTATAACTGCAAGAGAGGCATCTAATAGCCTGAAAGGTAATCACAAGACAGACAGCAATAATTGAGTAAGTTACTCAGTAACTGTTGAGATGGAACCTCAGAAGAAAACCGTGGATGAAGAATTGAAAGATTTATTCCATGCATTTAAAGGTGAATAGCAACTTTAGGATTGCAATCTAAAACATTCTTTGGCTGTGCATACCCACCGTTTCATTGCAAGATGAACATATTAGAACAGGGAAACTTGTTAAATTGCTACATTACACAGTTTCTTAACAATGGAGAGATTTAGACTCATCTCGAGAACTGAACAAAATAAGTCATGGGAAATAGCAACACACCTATTTGTAATTATAGTCAGTGTCTTTGCCATTTGCAACCTTGATTTGAGCCATGAATATGAAATAATGTCTGCAAGATGGTGCATAATAATAACCATCGGAATTGACACAATCACCTTTGGTCAGTTGCAAAAGGCAGCTTTCCTTGGAACAGGTTACCTCCTGCAACAATACCTTTAACCCTATCACACAATAACACCTGCCTATCCCAGGTCCTTGGGAGGGACTTGACAGGTCGATAAAAATGCCAAACGTCTAGTGGACTATGTGATTAACCACAATAATAATAATGGTCCTTGGAAAAGGACTCGGTAGGTGAACAACAATGCCAAATCCAGTCTAAACATCTGGTTGACTTTGTGACCCAACCATAATGGATTAAAATGTGCATTCTGTTGGATCCCACTGACTGGGTGACTCACAACAATCCAGCCTGTTGTGTTCAGTTCAATAGAACATAAGAAATAAAGATAAAAGATGGCAAGCATGATGACGTGCGGGATCTCTCTCTTCTCATCAAAGGCCTGGCTGAAGAGCAGGTTTCCCTGGCTCCTTTATATAACAGCAGAGTGAGGAATGTCCAGAAGTGGGAAGGGGAAACCTCGTTAAATTATATATAGGTAGTCCTCGACTTACGACCACAACTGAGCCCAAAATTTATGTTCCTAAGCGAGACAGTTTTTAAGTGAGTTTTGCCCCATTTTATGACTCTTCTTGCCACAGTTGTTAAGGGAATCATCAAAGTTGCTAAGTTAGTAGCCTGGTTGTTAAGTGAATCTGGCTTCCCCATTGACTTTGCTTGTTGGAAGGCCGTAAAAGAGGATCACATGACCACAGGACACTGCGACCGTCATAGGTACATGCCAGTTGCCAAGTGTCTAAAATTTAGATCACATGACCACGGGGGATACTGCAATGGTCATAAGTGTGAAAAGCAGTGATAAGTCCCTTTTTTTCTGCGCCATTGTAACTTCAAACGGTCACTAAAAAAACTGTTGTATATCACACCTGCTTCCTATGCTAATATCTTACATGTTTTCATCATTTTAAATCTCTTTACTCACTCATAGCCATGTCTTCCAGATAAAGAAGCTATGGATAAACCCTGGGACTTCCGAATGTGGGATATCGAACAGAAATATATGTTCTTTGAGAAAAATCAGCTGATAGCAGCCCCGCTGTATTCTACATCATCAGGTATTAGGGAGCAACATTAGTGCTTTAGTAATTCTCAATTTTTTCTTTATGCTATTGGGCAAAAGAGATCACAGCAGTAAATTCTGGCTGTCCCAAAGGTGTCTTTTTCCAATAGTCAATTGGACTTCCTTAAGTTTTTTTTTCTTTGAAAACATTTCTGCTTCTCACCCAAGAAGCTTCTTCAGTTCAGTTTCAAAGAAAAATAATAATAAGTCCGATTACCTTTTGGAAAAGCACTTTTGGGACCACCATGACTGGGATAATTGGGAACCTCCGTAGACATGTCAATTCTGGAGTTGCATAACCAAGGGCTGATGACTGGCTCTTGTTATGGAGAACCATGGAGCTGGTGATTCTTTCAGTTGCTTCTGCACCACATTCTTGTCTCGGAAGGAGATTTGCCCAGTTTTGTCATCTAGATACTTCTGCTTGTTCTTCTCCTGACATTTCAATATAAAGTTACACGTGGCTTTAGAAGTTGCTTGGGTGCATGCATTCCCCAATCAAGGAGAAAAAAAAAAGGAAAATGGAAGTGTTGGATGCCTTGACACATAAATAAGCTAAATAATTGTAAGTCAACTTGAAATCCTGATAAGGATTGCGAAGAATCCTGGTGACACAGTAGTTAAAATGTAGTATTGCAGGCAAAATCAGCCTACAGCCTGGAGTTTGATCCTGATGGGGCTCATGGCTGACTCAGCCTTCCATCCTTCCGAAGTTGGTAAAATGAGGACCCAGAGTTTTGAGAGCAATATGCAGATAATGCTTCTATCTTGTAAACTACCTAGAGAGAGCCTAAATGCTAAAAAAAGTCCAAAATAATATTACTGGCATATATTGCAAGAAACTCTGAGTCCAGAACTATAGAGGGCAATTAAAATACAGGTAAGTTATTCCAACCCTGGAGACTGGATGAGATTTTAAAATCTAACCCAAAGAGTCATGCTGGAAATCTCACTGTGCAAAAAACAACAACAACCCAACAACCTGTTGCTTGACTGTTTAGGGAAGTAGGAATTAGACCAAATGACTGGGTGCATTGAAAAATGTTACTTTATTGTCCTGGCCACTATAATCTAAGACCCACATCTCTTTGGGGAGAGGAATTAGATAGTTCAGATGGATGATCCAAGGAGAAAGATCCCCAGTGCAGAAGGATCAATGCTTCTTCTGATCAATAAAGATCTTGTTATTTACATACCATTAGTACAGGTAGTCCTTGACTGACAACAGACTGTTCAAACTTACAACGGCACTGAAAAAGGGACTTATAGCCATTTTTCACACACTGTTGCAGCATCCCCCACGGTCACATGAGTTATATTTGGATACTTGATAACTGACTCACATTTATGACGGTCGCAGTGTCCCAAGGTCACCTTTTGTGACCTTCTGACAAGCAAAGTCAATGGGGAAGCCAGATTCACTTAACAACCGTGTTACTAATTTAACAACTGCAGCAATTCAATTAACAAATGTGGCCAGAAAAGCCGTAAAATGGGGCAAAATTCATTTACTAAATTTCTCACTTAGCAACATAAAATTTTGGGCTCAGTTGTGGTCATAAGTCAAGGACTACATGTAATATAGATGTAGTAATGGGTGCAAGCTGCAAGCTACCATATGATTTGAAAATCAGTGTGGACATAGAATAACTCAGGACCTAATGAATACCTAACTGATACTTGCTTTATGGTTTATTTCAATAGCTTTAAAAAAATGTTATTGACATCTTTCCACCAACAGCTTCTCATTCAAAACTCTACTTCCAAATAAAGATGCTTTTCTCTGTTTTTGTTGACTCATCTATATTGTTATTGTTCTGCAGAACAGTTGATGGCTGTGGTCCCCAACAACAACTTAGACATCAAAAAACGACCCATCTTTTTGGGACTCACTGATAAACTCCTGACCTTGACCTGTCAGTTGTCAGTTAATGATGAACCTCAACTAGTGATATTGGTGAGTTTCATATTTTAAGTCCTGAAGAAAGAGGGAAGTCACAAAAAAGAGGGGAGTCAATCTGTTCTCCAAAACACCTGAAGGCAGGACAACAAGCAACAGATGGAGCCTAAATAAGGAGAGAAGCAACCTACAACTGAGGAGAAACTTCCTGACAGTCAGAACAATTAATCAGTGGAACGACTTGCCTCCAGAAATTGTGGATTCTCCAATACTGGAAGTTTTTAAGAAGAGTTTGGACAACCATTTGTCTGAAATGTTATAGCGTTTCCTGCCTGAGCAGGGGGATGGAATAGAAGATATCCAAGGTCCTTTCCAACTCTCTTATTCTTTTATTCTGAATTGCCTACTTATTCTATTATAATTAATGTACCGTATCTATACACTGCATTAAAAACTACTACAGTATAAGGTGCACTCATAAACCCCTTTCTTTGGAAGAATAAGCCTGTTCCAATCAAATCAATGTCACCCCCTCCACTTGTTTATTGGGATATATTTATCACAATAAAACGCAGTTGTAGCTTTAGCTGTCTGATGAAAAAATGGTTTATGGTGAAAATAATAGCAATAGCACGTATATTTATGTACCGCTTCACAGTGCTTTACAATCCTCTCTAAGCAGTTTACAGAGTCAGCCTATTGCCCCCAGCAATCTGAGTCCTCTTTTTACCGACCTTGGAAGGATGAAAGGCTGAGTCAACCTTGAGCTAGTGAGAATTGAACTACTGGCAGTCGGCAGAATTAGCCTGCAATACTGTATTCTAACCATCGCGCTACCATGGCTCTTATAATATATTTTTAATGAAGTGTTTCTGATTTGTTCAGCTTCTGTTATTGCTAGTTTACCTTGGCAAGGTGATTAGCAATGAATTCCTTCTTAACATCAGAAAGAAATAATATGGAAACAGTACAGTATAGCTTGTTGTAAACTGCTTTAGCTAATCCTACTTGGGAGGCTAAAATTGGAGCATAAGCTACAATGGGAAATTTTCAGAATAGAATTTTAACTGAATTGAAGTAAGAATGGTTCCTGTTTATACATTATATCACACAGCAAGGCAGAATTAGGTATCCGGAATGTGTTCTTTTAGGACTCAAATAGAAATTAATAACAATTACTAAAGTTTGATACCAAGTTCAAATATGTAAACTGTGCCCAGCAGTTGTAATACAAATGGAATTGTATTCATCGCTTTATTGATGAGATGGGTGGCATATTAAATTAAACAAACAGAGAAGCAGACTGACTATGGCGAAAGAAAACAAAGGTAGTACCAATAATCATAGATGCCTTGGATGCAATCCCAAAACATCGGGAGTGCCACTAGAACACCATCGGCATAGACAAATTCACCAACAATCAATTGCACAAGACAGCTTTACTTGGAACAGCTTACATTCTGCCATGATACCTTTGACACCAATAAAGAACAATATCTGCCTATCCCAGGTCCTTAGGAAAGACTTGATAGATGAACAAAAATGACAAGTCCAGTGTAAGCATATGGCTGACTGTGAGATCGATCATAATAATAACAATAGTGGGCAGGATATATATCACTTAAAATTTCCATGTTCTTTTTTTACAATGCTTCTTTTAAACTGAAATATAGCTGTCTTTTGTTGGTTTGTTTCATCATGCTTTAAAAAAATTCTTTTCAATTCAATATTTTTAACCATTAATGCATGGATTAAAACAGAAGTAGCTAATCCTGCAGCTCTCCTAACCAAGCCTTGTATTTTTATTTTTTTTAGGAAGCCAACATCATGGATCTTTACAGAAGTACGAAGGAATTCAAGAATTATTCTTTCTACGCGGACAATAAAGGCACTAAAATGACTTGCTGCTTTAAATCTGCAGCTTTCCCTGATTGGTTTTTATGTACCTCAATTCAACCAAACATGCCTCTTGGTCTTTGTAAAGCAGGAGATTCTAAGATCATTTTGTTCAATTTTGAAAATGTTTCTTCCACTCCAAAGCTTTTGCAATGATAAAGTAAGTAATAGTAATGTTTTGATTAAAAATGGAATATCGAATTGCGAGTAAATTCTAGATTGCCTCTTAGTATTGTTTTATTTCTGGCCTCCAAGGACTATGGAAGACTAACATGGCAATGCTGATGGAAGAGGTGGAGCCATAGCTGATTCCTTGCCTGTAACACAACCTGGATGCATTTAGTTTTGATTCAGTAAGAACAGAAATGAAAATAAAAACCTGAAATCAAAACCAGTTTCGGCGTTTTGTTGTCAAGTTTCAACAATGTCACTAACCTTAACCCTAACCCCATTTGGTGTCGAATGACCATTTCACGGGGTCGCCAAACAACGCAGTCCGCCATTTCCCCCCCCCCTTTTCCTTAGCTGTGCTACTCCCTTTTATTCTATTGGCTTTTGAAAGCTAGTAGAATAGACTCTCTTGAATAGAGTCTAATTCTATTGGCTTTCAAAAGCCAATAGGAATTGTCCAGGCTGTCTCTGCCCTGCTGAGCCCGCCAAAAGTCCCATTCTGCAAACGGTGCTGCACCAATTGAGTAGTCCTCGACTTACGACTGGTTGAGTAGTCCTCGACTTACGACCGGTTGGGGGTCGCGGCATTAAAAAGGTTGAGAACCACTGTCTTAGATTCAGGTAAAAAACATGTAAGAAGCAGAAGGCTACATAGAGGCTGTTCTTCCCATACTTAATTAGCGCCTAGTAGAAAAGAAATATTTTGAGTAAAACAATAAGGTACAGAGTATCCTTGTCACCGTAAAGTGCCCGACTGATATTTTTCTTTCTTGGAGTAGAAGAAAATGGAGAAACCCTTCAATTTTATAAATTGTCTCTCTCTAAGCTAATTCTTTTCATACAATAAGCTTACAGCAAACTTACTACCAATCAAGTGATATTACGACTAGAGATAGTTCCCGGGAAAGGGGGCTGATCCATTTTCTCTCTCAAACACTTTTGTCATGCACAGAGAGATATAAGGCAGACTTTGCTGTCTATATCAGAAACCACACAATTTGTGAAATCTGACCACTGCAAGACCCGTTCTTCCACAACTAGGAGTCTACATACTTTAAATACATGCACGGACACAAACACACAGTTATTTTTGCTTGAAGTGCTTCTAAGGACAATTCTTCTCCAAAACGATAAGAGGAAATACACTTAAGTATTCTTTAATGCTTTCAGATGAGGAAATTCTTGCAAAACAAATATTTTGCATTGTCTAATTCATTCCTTAAAGAAGAAAAAGCACCCAACTGTGGGATCATTTCCTATTTTCCATTCACCTATAGAAGGCACACCCATCAGTGTCACTGAGTGACTATAAATGGTGCAAAATCTCGGAGGTGGGCACAGAGAAAGATCCTTCAGCCAAAGAAAAATTGTTACACCAGGACAGGTACAAAGTTCTTGATTATACTTTTGGACATTCTTTCCATGTCTATTTCCAGGGCTAAGTGCTAACTTCTTTCCTGGCCAATTTTGCCATCTATTATTGTGATCATCTGAGGACCAGAATAGAATATGAATTTGTTTTTTTTGAGCTTTTAACAACTGGGTTCATGTGGCTTTTATGAGTTGCTTTTTTTTAAAAAAAAAATCTGCACCCTGATGCTTGATTTTAGTCAGTTTGATCTTGAGGTGCTAATAATTGAATTTACTATAAAAACCTCTCTGTGTGTATGCCTCATTCTCAGTTGGTGTCCTTTACAGAGGAGACTAATCAATTTATGAAGCAGATTGTGAAAAAACTCTAGTAAACTTAGTTTATTTACGTATCAATACTATAAGATAGAAAAATATAAAAGAAAATAAGAAAGATTGGGGAGGGAAAAGGGAAGGGAAAAGTGAGGGGAACAGAGGAAAAAGAGAGAAAAGATATTGACGTCTGATTCCCTTTGGTGCAGTAGAATAACATCAAACCTCAGCTTTTTTACTTTTACATAATAATATAAACTAGCCATTTTTATAACAACAAACTTATCTAATCGGTAAAACCCAAAACCAAAGTTTCATTTGATTTTGTGCTTCACTTCAAGCACAAAGTCCAGAAGCAGTTTTCAAGTAGAAAAATAATTGTGCTTTTTTCCCCTTTAATCCAAGCAGTCCGTTTAGCCATCTCTGCTAACTCCACCAATTTCTGCAGACGTTCGTCCATTGTGAGAATCGAAGTGTCCTTCCATTTTTGTGCATAAAGCAATCTTGCTGCCATCAATATATAGAGCATCAAAATTCCAAATTTTTCTCCCAAATCTTTTTCCATTAAACCCAAAAGAAAAAATAGATTGTAACAAAACTCAATGCTATGATACACTACAAGACTATTTGTTTTACTCCCACTTTCATTAGAAAATAGATTTATAAATCTTGGATGGGTGATGGCAGGATTTGGGGGAAGTGGATTAAGCCCTATTATACAATATAAATTCTTACAGTCTCCCAAATGATATGGAAATTTGTACACATCTCCCAAATGGGAGGAGGAGGAGGAAGAGGAGGAGAAGACCTTGATTGTTTCAAGACTTAAAGAGTTAAATATTTTCTCTCCCTCTGAACAAAATTGGAATGCAATCTCAGATGCTTTATCTTTTCAAGAATTGAGTAATGCATCTTTGCTCTACTTTTTTAGAATTTGCTTTATTATTTTTATTTATTTTATTTTATTTTATGAGACTTATATACCGCTTTAAGTGCAGCACTCTTTAAGCGGTGTACACCAGTAAGCAATGTATATATATATTTACATTGCCCCCAACAATCTGGGTCCTCATTTTACCTACCCCAGAAGGATGGAAGGTTGAGTCAACCTTGAGCCGATGAGATTTGAACCGCTGACCTGCTGAACACAGTCACCTCGGCTCTTTATTAGCTGGTTTCTGGTCTTCAGTTCCTTTTCAGAACAAGCCTAACCTCTCAATCACAATTTAGGAAATAATTCTTCAATTTATGCAAACACTTGTTTTGTTTTCTTTAAAATTGTCATCAGGACATATCGATGCAAATAGTTTATTTCCAGTCTTTTTCCCATATCTCAACTGTGTGAAAATATTTGGTGCCACCCATCACTTTATTTCCAAACTTCGTGATACATGTATTTCATTATTATCTTATTTATTCAAGACACTTAAATGTAATGACCACCGAAAACAAAATTCAATTGCAAGAAAGTGAAATGCCCGAAAAGAAAAACAGTAACATTTAATGATTGAATTACAAGTGAAATTTAAGACGCAAAAAGAAATATAAAAAGGGCATAAGAACAAATCGCAATGCAGGAACTAAGAATTTCAAGACGAAAACTCTGAAACTAAATTAAGATTCGAGGAAAGTATATATAGTCATGCACACTGTAAAAAAGATTAAAAAGACACAAAGAAAGTATAATATCGAACTGGAGTGCACGCTAAAAAAGTATAACACAAAGAGACACATAAAATGTTTTACAAAGCACAACAAAAATTAAAAAACAAAGCTGATCGTATTCACATATGTACGCCGTTCTGTACTGAAGCTAGCTGGAGGAACATTTGAAAACACAATTCAATCCACTAATAGCGAGGGATCTGATGTTTTTGTACGACAGATATACAGCGATTCACCGTACGAAAAAGTCGCAAAAGTGTCCCCAAAACTTCTCGCTCCATCGCCCCCATATCGCCCCCTTTTCGTTCCTTTGCCCCCACGTCACCTCTTTTCGTTCCATCGCCCCCCTGAAAAATGAAATCGCCTTCTGGGGGGTGATATCGCCCAGGTTAAGAACCACTGGTTTAAATATTCCAAAATTTCTTCCTGCCCTACCCTCCATCTATAAAAAGTCCCAGCCTTTTGGTTGGAGAGTTCCACCCTACCAATCCATGGTGTGTGATGCTAACTCAATCATTCTGTATTGCTGCTTCAGCTAACAGTGGCTCTTGAATCTATCTTTAAAGTCTTCCTTATTTTAGAGCATAAGAGAGATAGATACTGATATAGGTAATTTCAGTGTGTGAGAAGTATGGGATATGACATCCAAGTTCTTCCCCAACAAGCCCTCCTAACAAGTGAATCAACTAGGTTAATTAAACTAAAGAAAGTTCTTTGCCACCAAAAGCCAGCAAAAGTGGGGAAAATATACTTGTTATGTTTTTCACAGTCAATAAAATAATAGGTTTCATCAAGAAGGGAATTCTTACTCTAATCGTTATGAAGAAACATGAGATGAGATGGGGATGAATCGGTGGAGATTATAAAGTAATCTATAATATAATAGATAATAGAAGATTTAGAAGTGCTATAATATGAGTGATAAGGATAGAAAAGATCTGAGTTTAAGAGATTCAAGAAGAATAGATTTGATTGAAGGAGACCCAAGGCTTTCATGACACGTGGCAGCAGAGATTTCATGGGCATGTGGGAAAATTATGATACACAAATGTCAAAGTTTATTTAGTGCCTGGAAACACCAACATTTCTCTTCCCAGCAGGAGAAATCTCTTTCTATTTGGTGTCCAAAAGGTGCTTTTTTTTTTCAAGAGGCAACTGGACTTTCTTTGTCCTTGAAGATGCTTCAATTCTCATCCAAGAAATTTCCATTTGGTGAGTGTTCAGAATGCACTGAATGGTGTCTCCATTCTCTTCTCTCTGGAGCCACATTTTATGAAGCCAACTAACAGAATAACAGAGTTGGAAAGGGACCTTGGAGGTCATCTAGTCCAACCCCCTGCTCAGGCAGGAAACCCTATACCGTTTCAGACAAATGGTTGTCCAATCTCGTCTTAAAAACCTCCAGTGTTGGAGCATCCACAACTTCTGGAGGCAAGTCGTTCCACTGATTGTTACAACTGTCAGGACATTTCTGTTTAGTTCTAGATTGCTTCTCTCCTTGATTAGTTTCCATCCGTTGCTTCTTGCCAACAGCTTCTCTTAGGACAGTAGTACAGTATCAAGTGTGGAAAAGCTCCCCAAGAACCCAAAGCAGCAACCAACCTGGAGAAACTGGGAAAAATAGTAGAAATGAAGACCCAGAAGAATGAAAGCCAGAAGAACAGCTGGGATGGGGAAATGAAGGAATTATTCCAAAAGTTAAGACTACGGCAGGGTGACGATTACTCATTTTTCCGTTTGTTTGTGTTTTCTAAAGATATTTCCAACTTAATAATGCAAAGTATATTTATCATTAAATACTTACAGAATTTTGATCCATAAACCAAGGACTAAGAGAATGGATTTATGAAATCTATATGTCACCA